GAAACCTACTTGATGGTGGTGAATGGTTGTTTTGATGTGTTCTTGGATCCGATTTGCCAGTATTTTATTGAGTATTTTTGCATCAATGTTCATGAGGGATATTGGTCTGAAGTTCTCTTTCTTAGTTGTATCTTTGTGTGGCTTGGGGATCAAGGCTATTGAAGCCTCATAGAAAGAGTTTGGCAAAGACCCTTCTGCTTCTATTGTGTGGAATACTTTGAGAAGAATTGGTATAAGCTGTTCTTTGAATTTCTGGTAGAATTCTGCACTGAGGACATCTGGACCTGGACTTTTTTTGGTTGGAAGACTTTTGATGACTGCTTCTATTTCCATAGGGGTTATAGGTCTATTTAAATTGCTTATCTGTTCTTGATTTAGTTTTGGCAAGTGATAGCTATCCAGGAAGTTGTCCATTTCCTTTAAATTTTTGAATTTTGTGGAGTACACGTTTTCAAAGTATGAACTAATGATTGTCTGTATTTCCTCAGAGTCTGTTGTTATGTCCCGCTTTTCATTTCTGATTTTGTTAATTTGCATGTTCACTCTCTGCTGTTTGGTAAGTTTGGACAAAGGTTTGTCTATCTTGTTGATTTTCTCAGAGAACCAACTCTTCATTGCATTGATTCTTTGTATTGTTTTCCTAGTTTCTACTTTATTGATTTCAGCCCTCAATTTGATTATTTCCTGGCGTCTACTCCTCCTGGAGGAGTTTGCTTCTTTGTGTTCTAGAACTTTTAGCTGTGCTGTTAATTCTCTAGTATAACTGTTCTCCAGTTTGTTCATGTGGGCACTTAGTGCAATGAACTTCCCCCATAGCACTGCTTTCAAAGTGTCCCTTAGGTTTGGGTATGTTGTGTCTTCATTCTCATTGAATTCTAGGAAGTCTTTAATTTCTTTTTTTATTTCCTCTTTGACCCAGGGATGGTGCAGTTGAGCATTATTCAATTTCCATGAGTTTGTAGGTTTTCTGCAATTTGTGTTTTTGTTGAATTCTAATTTTAAAGCTTAGCCTTGGGACTTTATTTCCTAGGAACAGACAGTTCTGAGGCTGGAGGGATGGCTTGGTGATGAAGAGCACTTACTGTTCTTGCAGAGAGGCCACCTATGGTGGTTTAAAATTGTCCATACTCTAGTTCCAGACAATCTAAAGCTTTCTTATGGTCTCCACAGGCACCAGGGATGTAGTGGTTCACAGGTACTTCATACACATAGGCCAGGAGGTGGTGGCCCACACCTTTAATCCCAGCACTCGGGAGGCAGAGGCAGGCAGATCTCTGTTAATTTGAGGCCAGGATGGTCTGACAGCCTCCAAAACAATACAGAGAAACCCTGTGTCATAAAAACAAAACAAAAAATAAATCTTTTTAAAAGATTAAAATTCTAGTATGAATTTCTTTTCTTTTTTTTAAAATCAAATTTTTGACATGGGGTTTCTCTGTGTAGCCCCAGAACTTGCTTTGTAGATCAGGCTGTCCTCAAACTCACAGAGATTCTCCTGCTTCTGCCTCCTGAGTGCTGGGATTAAAGGCGTGTGCCACCATGCCTCAAGAATGTTTTTTTTTATAAAGCAACATGGAGCTGGGAGTGGTGGCCTATATCTGTATCCCAGCACCTGAGCATTGCGGAAAAGGATTATCAATAATTTGAAACCAACCTTGGTTATAGCAAAACCCACCTCAAAAACAGAATGAGACAAAACAAAAAAACAGACACATAGGCAAGACATGAACTAGCAAGTTGCACTGATTAGTCAGGGAATACATATTTAAAGATATTCAACACATTATTAATCAAGAAAATATTAAAACACATATTTGGTCTAGGAAGTGGAGACAGGAGTATCAGAAGTTCAAGGCCAGCATGAATTATATAAGACCCTGTCTCAAAACACCACCACCCACATTCTGAGGGTGAGGCTAGGAGCAAATTTACTGGTTGAAGATATTGTAAACTGGCAGTAGAATGTTCTCCATCTCAATGGCAGCGTCCAGTGAGATTGAAAAAGATTTTAACTGATAAAAATGATCTTGCTTGGTTGGTGGCACACACCTTTAATCCCAGCACTCAGGAGGCAGAGGCAGGCAGACCTCTTATGAGTTTGAGGTCAGCCTGGTCTACAGAGCAGAGTTCCAGGACAGCCAGAGTTGTTACACTGAGGAAACTGTGCCTCAAAAAAAAAAAATCAAAAAACAAAAACAAAAAACAAATCTTGCTTTTCGTTAAACACTCTATAAAACTTATGCAGAGCAAGAAACATACTGATGTTTAATAAGGCATTTTTCAAACAGTGATTTTAGACAATACTGATCAGTAAATGGTTTAGGGTACTTGCCACACACAGACTTGATTTCAGATTCCTAGAACCTGCATAGAGGCTGGGCAGGCATGGTATACCACCTAAAATTCCAGCCTTGGAAGACAGGCAAAGGACTCCTAGAGTAAAGTGGAATAGTCACACTAGTGAGCCCTGTGCTTGACTGGAAGGGCTATTGAGGGTGATTTCAGACATCAACCCCAGGCCTCCACATGTATAGAGATCTTCACACATACAAACATGCATACACACACGCACACTATATGCACACAATGAAAAGGATACAAGTTTAAAGAGATAAGCACATAGAAAAGGCAAGTGAATTTTCTAATTGAAACCACCTTTCTGGTTTACTTGGGGTTATTCTGAAGAATTTAGGTGGGATCCATGGCCTTATAGACACTTGCCAGTCCTTTACTGCTGAGCTGTACCCCAACCCCTAAAAACAGTCATTTTTAGTGCCAAATGAGCAAGAATTCTCTTTGTGGTTTCTCTGTGTAACCCTGGCTGTCCTAGAACTCTGTAGACCAGACTGGCCTTGAACTCAGAGATCCACCTGCCTCTGCCTTCTGAGTGCTGGGGTTAAAGATGAATGCCACCATGCCCAGCAACAATTGTCTTTTTCTTTTCTTTTCTTTTGTCATACAGTAACAAACACCTGCTGAGGTCCCTGCCCTTTTTTGGTTACAGCCTGGCCTGCAAGGCAGAGCCACATCTGTAACAGGTGATGAAAAGAGAATTCTGCTGATGTAGATAAAATGAAACCTTTTCTCTTGTTCTTTTGGTAATCGTTGTGATCCAAGGAAGCGCAGTATCCATGGGTGTTTGAGAACAGCATCTTCTTTGTGTGCCATGAAGTACTAGCACTCTGTAAAACACACTGTTTGACATCTTGGATAAATAAGTCCCTGTGACTGTACACCTGCAACCCCAACACTTGGCAGGTAGAGGCAACTGGGTCAGACGAGGAGTTCAAGGACATCCTCAGCTACATGGTTAAGTTTGAGGCAGGTCTGGAATGCATGACACCTTGTGCATTGTCCTCCCAAAGGGAGGAGGATGAGGGAAAACAACCTAGGACAGAAGGTAATACTGTCTGTATTAGCTCCCTGTTGCCAATAAAAACCATAACTTCAAATTCCATCACTTCTTTGACTACTGACAAATAGAATTTTCTAGTAAAGAACTTTTTCAATGGCATGTGGTTGTTATGAAATGAAGATAAATATTTCATTTTTCATTTATCAGCAATGCCCTACTATGCTCCATAGCTTATCAATTCATTTGGTAAAAGGAAGAAAACCAAGGCAGAAGAAAAAGCTCTTAAATGGCCATGGTGGTTATGACATAAGGACACAGGAGTCAGTATTAGAGGATTCTCACTAAAAAAGCAATTGGATAATTTGGTACATTAAAAAATGCTACAATAGTGATTTTTAAAATAGGAATTATAGATTATTAGTTTCTTTTTATGTTGTCTTTATTAAATATTGACTTGGACTACAGAATATACCTTTGTATTATTAGCAAATTGCAAAGAATTTCACTCTGAATATTCTAATGAGTAGATATTCATATTCAAGGAGATTCAATGAGAGGCCCTGGGTTCAATCCTCAGTACCACATCATCACAACACAGACACACACACACACACTGGAAGAGATCATACACACCTTAATTCCCAAGTTCAGGAGACTGTGAGGTAGGAGGACTTGGAGTTCAAGGTCTGAGCTACTCTAAGTTACACAGTAAGACTGCATAAAACAACAAAAGCAAACCTTAACAAGAATCAGGTGTCTACGTTCAAGGAGGAACAAATGTTGGAAGGCATTTCTATGTTCATCACCTGTAGTCTGTCATATGAATTACCAAAAGAGTAATAGTCACTATAACAAATTTAGTGACTTTAAATAATAACCAATGTATTATTTTATGATTATGTGGCTGGTTGATTCTTCATTCTTCTGTATGGTGTCAACTGAGGCCACTTAGTGGCATTCAGTTGGTGGCTGGTCTGGAAGATCCAAACTTTTTTTTTTTTTTGGTTTTTTGAGACAGGGTTTCTCTGTATTGTTTTGGAAGTTGTCCTGGAACTCACTCTGTAGACCAGGCTGGCCTCAAACTCAGAGATCCACCTGCCTCTGCCTCCCGAGTGCTGGGATTAAAGGCGTGCACCACCAATGCCCAGCCCCAAAACTATTTCTATCCAATGTCTAGTATCATATGGTCATATCCAGAAGTCCAGCTTCGGCAAAGGTCTTTTACTGTCTGTATGGCCTCAGGGCCTCTTCAGCCAGATTTTCAAATATGACAGTTCAGGATTTGAGAGACTATTCTGGCTTGCAGCAACCCTAGCAGTAAAGCCTGGACCCCCGACAGCAGCACAGATACACTTCTACTACGTCCTCCTGGGCACACTGGCATCTGCCTGTATTCCAAGAGAGGGATGAGGACTGTAGAACTTGATGGAGTTTTGAAGACTCTGGGGCCACTTTTGTCAGTTTTAGATCACTATTTCACAAATGACAAAAACTGCAGCCCAGAGCAACTGAGTATTTTAATATAACTGAAGTAATGGAATTGAGGTGTTATTATCCCCCATGTTTGTTTATATTTGGGACTAACTGTAGAATAAGTATGTTGCAGCATTATGGTTGGGAACAGACTGAAATACAATGGAACACATTAAATTAGCATATTCCTTTAATGGTATAAAACCTGTGCCAGGTCAGTGTGAGCAAACGAGATCAGCTGTAGCACTCACAGAATGTTCAGTAAGACCGCTCAGACTTTGCTACACTTTGGCACTATGGATCTTCAGATGATGGGTGAGGTGTGAGTGCTGTCTAAAGGCCTTCTTACATTCTTTACACTCATAGGGTTTCTCACCAGAGTGAATTCTCAGATGTTGGATAAGAGAAGAATTAAGTCGGAAGGCCTTCCTACATTCCTTACACTCAAAGGGCTTTTCACCAGTATGGATGCTCTGGTGAAGAGTAAGTTTCTGACGCAACCGAAAAGACTTCCCACATTCCTTACACGAGTAGGGTTTCTCGCCAGCATGAATGCTCCGATGCTGTGTGAGCTGTGAGAGCAGTCTAAAGGCTTTCCCACATTCCTTACAATCGTAAGGCTTGACGCCGATATGAATACTCTGGTGGGAAACAAGCTGTGAGTATCGGCTAAACGCCTTCCAGCACTCCTTGCATTCATAGGGCTTCTCCCCTGTGTGTACTCTGTGATGGAGAATGAGATGATAACCCCGACTAAAGGTCTTCCCACACTCATTACACTCATAGGGCTTCTCACCCGTGTGGATCCTCTGATGCAGTGTCAGCTGCTGCCGAACTCTAAAGGCCTTCCCGCAGTCCGTGCACTCATAGGGCTTCTCACCAGTGTGAAGTTTGTGATGTGCTCTAAGGCCAGAGCCACACAGAAAGTCTTTGCCACACTCTTTACACTCGTAGAGTCTGTCCACAGTATTAAGCTTCTGGTGTCGAGTGAGGTGTGCACACTGCCTGAAAGCCTTCCCACACTCTTCACACACATAGGGCTTCTCACCAGTGTGGATCCTCTGATGGAGACTAAGTTGTCCCCGTACCCTGAAGGATTTCCCACATTCTTTACATGCGTAGGGCTTCTCCCCGGTGTGAATCTTCTGATGTGCTCTAAGGTCTGGGCCATATATGAACGCTTCCCCACACTCCTTACATTCGTATAGTTTTCCACCGGAATGAAGTCTCTGATGTCTGGTAAGGTGTGCAGTCTGCCTAAAAGCCATCCCACACTCCTTACACTCATAGGGTTTCTCACCAGTATGAATTCTATGATGAAAAGTAAGCTGTTGGCGGACTCTAAACGCCTTCCCACATTCATCACACTCATAGGGTTTCTCCCCAAAATGGATTCTCTGACGTGGTGTAGCAAATGTACGCTTTTGGTAAGAGGACATTTGTTCAGATGTGATTTTCATCTGTCTGAGATATCCCTCCTGAGATCCCTCTTGGCATTCATGTTTTCTTTTGGACTGCCACTCATTTTTTAAAATAAGGCCCTTCAGGCCACTGTTGCCAATTCTTTCCATTATCTTCCATTGGGATAAATTCACTTCATAGATGCCGCTTTCTGAGGATGACTGATTGGTCTTATCCTTAGTTTCCAAATCTGCAAGAAAGCAGATACATGCTATTTTACTGTTCTCAAGAGGTAGATTTCTGCACTAGAAATAAAAGACAAAGAAGGTAATGCTCAATCAAACTCAAATTAGTGTCATGTAATTTGGGAAGCAAAACAGAATATTAGGAAAATGAGAGTTCATATAAGAAAAGCCAGTGGTAATTAAGCAAATAGTTTTTAGCACTGGTTCATGAACTGAGGTGTGGATCAGGATTACTGAGCAGAATTACAAAGACTGTTTAAAGCAGGGCATAGGGGTGAACATCTTTAATCCCAACACTCGGGAGGAAGAGGGAGGTGAATCTATGTGAGTTGGAGGCTAGCCTGGTCTACATAGTGAGTTCTAGGACAGCCAGGGCTACATAGTAAAACCGGTCTCAAAAATAAATAAATTGTAAGGTGTAGTCTTCCTTATCAGCTGCCTGGACCCTGTCACAGGTGCAGTCCCCAAATAACACACAAAGACACTGTATTCATTATGAAGCTGTTGATCATTTGCTTGTTTCTTACTGGCTAGCTCTGACTTAAGTATTTAACCTTCTTACTCCTCTGGTGGCCTACATTGTGTCTGCCCGTGTCTCTGTTTCCCAGAATACTCCCCAACTCCTAGTCCCAGCCATATTGGCCAACAGTGCTTTATTCTAACCAATCAGACACATTTCCTAATAATAAACAAAAAAATCCCCAATACTGTTTAATACAACCACTTGGATAAAACTGTAATTTTTGTTCCCTTGTATCGTGTGTGTGTGTGTGTGTGTGTGTGTGTGTGTGATGTACACTTGTATGCAGATATGCAGATTCATGTTCTGCATGTGTGGGCTCACATGGAGGGCATGTGGAGGCCCGGGGCTGATGTCAGGAATCATCTTCAATCTGCCATCCATCTTACTCATTGAGACTGGGTCTTTCAGTCAAACCCAGAGCTCACCAATACGGCCAGTCTTGCTAACTAGCTTGCTCTAAGGCAGTGGTTCTCAACATGTGGGTCGCAACCCCTTTGGGGCAGGGGGTGTGTCACATAAGATATACTGAATATCAGATACTTACAACTCACAACAGTAGCAAAATTACAACAATGAAGTAGCAACAGAATAATTTTATGGTTAGGGGTCATCACACCAGGAGGAACCACATTAAAGGGTTGTAGGGTTAGGAAGGTTGAGAACCACTGCTCTAGGAAACCCTGTCTTTGCTGTCTAACTCTGGAATTACCGGTGATTACCACACCTAATTGGCATATACACGGGTTCTGGGGAACTGAACACATTTGTGCAGCAAGCACTTTAACCACTGAGTCATCCTCCCCAGATCAGATTCTAATTTTCATTAAACATTAAGGAAGCTGGAGAGATGATGGTTCAGTGGTTAAGAGCACTGGCTGCTCCTGCAGCGTAGACTTAGTGACTTATTTTACGTGTAAGAGTGTTTTGCCTCCATGATTTTTGTGCAGTGTGCACATGCAGAGGTCAGAGGAGGGTGTTGGATTCCTTGGCACTGGAGTTATAGATGTTTGTGACCCATCAGGTGGGTTCTAGGAACTGAACCTAGGTCCTCTACAAGAGCAATAGCCCTCTTAACCATGGAGCCATATCTGAACTCCGCCTTATTTTTGGAGACTGTCTCTGAACCTGGAACTTATCAGTTCAGCTACATTGGTCGGTCAACAAGCCCTGGGATCTCCTGTCCCTGCCTTCCCAGCACTGAGATCACACACACTGGCTTTGTAAATGGACTCTGCGACTCTTCTGACCCAGGTCCTTCTGTTTGCACAGCAAGTGCTTCATCAACGGAGCGTTCTCTCCCACTCCATCATTAACAGTTCTACATTTTTAGTTGTTACTGGCTTTTCCTTTCTTTTTAGCCTTACAAAAAGTGCTAGAGATGGAATGAAGAAGAGTCTCACAGCTGTCACACTACACTATTCAAGACTCAGCTTCTCCTTACCTGAAAGCCTCTTTAAAGTCAGACACAATCTTAATTTACTCCATACTAAATAGTAAGTTCATAGCACAATAGTTTGTCTCATTTATTTGTTGTAGTTACTATTTGTTCTAAGTATATCTTTTTGCCTCTAATCTCTCACAGCTTATTACAGATGGTTAAATACTCTCTTCATGCACCTGAGCTTGCAGTTAAATACACAATGGTTAAATACTCTTCTTCATGCATCTGAGCTTGCACAGTTAAATACACGATGGTTAAATATCTCTTCATGCACCTGAGCTTGCACAGTTAAATACACGATGGTTAAATACTCTCTTCATGCACCTGAGCTTGCACAGTTAAATACACGATGGTTAAATATCTCTTCATGCACCTGAGCTTGCACAGTTAAATACACGATGGTTAAATATCTCTTCATGCACCTGAGCTTGCACAGTTAAATACACGATGGTTAAATACTCTCTTCATGCACCTGAGCTTGCACAGTTAAATACACGATGGTTAAATATCTCTTCATGCACCTGAGCTTGCACAGTTAAATACATGATGGCTAAATACTCTCTTCATGCACCTGAGCTTGCACAGTTAAATACATGATGGCTAAATACTCTCTTCATGCACCTGAGCTTGCACAGTTAAATACACGATGGCTAAATACTCTCTTCATGCACCTGAGCCTGCACAGTTAAATACACGATGGTTAAATACTCTCTTCATGCACCTGAGCCTGCACAGTTAAATACACGATGGTTAAATACTCTCTTCATGCATCTGAGCTTGCACAGTTAAATACACGATGGTTAAATACTCTCTTCATGCACCTGTGTAGGAGGAAGCCTGTATGCCGCCATTAACCATGTGACTTACTAGAGGCGCATACAGATGAGGTAAGAGCAGTTTACCACACCGCTAGCCACACCCACAGTTAAATACACGATGGTTAAATGCTCTCTTCATGCACCTGAGCTTGCACAGTTAAAAACACAATGGTTAAATACTCTCTTCATGCACCCGAGCTTACAGTTAAATACACGATGGTTAAATACTCTCTTCATGCACCTGAGCTTGCACAGTTAAATACATGATGGTTAAATACTCTCTTCATGCACCTGAGCTTGCACAGTTACATACACGCAGGGCCAGGGAGATCATTCTTACGCCTTCCTCACTTTGCATCTGCCCTTTTGCCCATTCTCTCCTTCCTTTCCTTGTGGTACTTGAGGTTGCACCCAGGGCCTCACCAACACCATGATAGCCACAGCTCAAAAGGCTTCTTATGCCTGGTGGTGGTGGTGCGCACCTTTAATCCCAGGACTCAGGGCAGAGGCAGGCAGATCTCAAAGCCAGCCTGGTCTACAGAGTAAGTTCCAGGATAGCCAAAGCTACACAGAGAAACCCTGTTTCAAAAAAAAAAAAAAAAAAAAAAAAAAGCAAAAGCAAACAAAAAAGCACCAGGCTTCTTATCCTGTTATTTAGGCTGGCTCCTTCTCAGTGTCCGTCCCCTCTGTCACAGGGCTCTACAGTCCCTTTTCCTTAGTCATTAGATTACTGCTGCTTTGTCCATTCCTCCCCCTGCTCTAGTCTTCTCTTTCATTCCTCACTGGAGAGGCCTTTCCTGGATTTTTTTCTGAGGTCATCCATTACTGCATTTCCAGACTGTGAAACAGGTTTGTATCTTATTGGAATGCTTAGAAACTCTTAGGAGATGATGTAACTGGGTAATATAGAGGCAAAGCTTTTGCACGTATCTGAATGTGAAGGACTCACTGACAGGTTACAAAACCTGCAAACAGAGGACAGCAAGCCAAGAGAAGTCGGAGGAAAAGCTGTGCTGCATGACCCTCGTGAAAGAGGATGAGGCTTACAATGACTACAGTTGTGATCAGTGTAAAAAGCTGAACTCATATAGGTATTTTCTACTAAACTAGAAATAATGAAAATAGAAAACCTATTTCAAACTTTAAAACTAGAAATCAGATAACTTTTAGGTAATACGAAAAAAGATTTAAAATAGTATCTAGCATCCTTGTTTTTTAGAAAACAAAAAGGTAAAAAGAAAATTACAGTGGTGGGTGAGGGCCCACAGGCCTGAAGACCCAGAAACCTGAGGTTGAGACAAGAGGATTGCAAATGGAAGTCCAATCTGGGCACTTCAGCAAGGCCTTGTCTCAATATACAGGTTATAAAGGGACCAAGGGTGGACCTTTGTAGCTTTGTGGTCGAGTGCTTGCCTAAGGCGTGAGTCCTGGGTTCCACACATGAAAACAAAAGCAAGCAAGCAAACAAACAAACCAAAAACAAACAAAAAAATGGAGAGCAAACATAGAAATAACAAATGACAACATACTGGACGCATGTGTCTGTGTGTGTGTGTGTGTGTGTGTGTGTGTGTGTGTGTGTGTGACACTAGCACTTGGGAAACTGAGGCAAGAGGGCTACACAGAGACTGTCTTAAAATGAACAAAAACATATAAATAAAAAGGAAATGAGAAGCCCAGCCTACTATGGAGGCAAAGGCAGGTGGATCTCTGAGTTCAAGGGCAGCCTGGTCGACAGACTTAGCTTCAGGACAGCCAGGGCTACACAGACAAACCCTGTCTCAGGAGAAAAAAAAAAGGAAATGAAAAAGTGAAATACAGAGCATTATCAGAAAAACGATGAGTAGCAATACATTTAAATAAAATTAAAATGTAGCATAGCTAAAACGGGTGCTTTTCCAGGAAAATACAATTGACCATCAAGGATATATGCTGTTTAACAGAATAATTTTTGTTCAGCTGTTTGCTTTCACTTTTTGAGGCAGGGTCTCATGTAGCTGCTGGCTGGCCTTGAACTCCTGATCCTCCTGCCTTGAGTTGGTAAGCAGGATTACAAGACTGCACCACCACACCTGGCTAAAACAGATCAATTTCCATAGAACAAATGGAGAGCGCAATCAGACCTGCTATAGTCCAAGAAAAAAAATGCTTTTAAAAGCACAAAAAAAGCCAAGTGACAGTGGCACACACCTTTCATCCCAGCACTCACGAGGCAGAAGCAGGCAGGTCTCTGTGAATTCAAGGCCAGCCTGGTCTACAGAGTTCCAGGACAGGCTCCAAAGCTACAGAGAAACCTTGTCTTGAAAAACCAAAAAGAAAAAAAAAGAATAGGAGTACTATGTTTGCAATAGAATATCATCCTTATGGTCTTATTTCACTGAGAAAAATAACAAAAAAAAATATGGCATTGTTTCTCCACTCCCCCTACAAATCTACATGCTGCTATGCTCCAGCTATGAAGGTCACAGCCTCACCCTTTGAAACTGTCTGGATCAACCAACTCTTCTATACGTTGACTTGGTCACTGTGTCTGCCCAGCCATAGAGAAGTAGCTAAAAGACAATCTGACGTGCTCTCCCGACTCCTTTGGGCACCAGGCATGCACGTAATGCGCACACACACACACATGCAGGTGAAATACACACACACATTTAAAAAGCAAATAGCTCCTTTAAAAAATTAAGTTCTGTGAGGAAAGGCGACCATAATAAACACTTTCCTGGGTTGATTATGTAGCTATAAAGTGAGCACTTGCCTCGAGCAAGATAGCAGGTTCTTCCACAAACAGGCAATTGCCCAAACATGGCAAAGCTTTCCCAGGTCCCGGCACTCACCACTCTTCACTCTGCTGACTCTTCATAGTGCTCTATTACAACCTGTCATTCTAGTTTCTATTCAATCATAGCAACTGGGTTTCTCTAATTACAAGGAGAATTCTATGGGCCGTGTCTGTTTACCACTGTAGCGACAGCAACTACCACAGTGGCCAGTCCAAAGTCCATCTATCCGGTACGCCTCTTTTCCAACTAATTGGGTGTGTTCCCCAAGCCTGACAGACCCTCTCTTACCTGGATTTCGTCTTCTTTTTCTCACAACCTTCCAGGGCTCTTTCCCTTGCTCCAGCAAGGAAATCACATCTGGTTTAGAAATGAAGCACCCTGCTTAGAAGAAAAGAAACATTAGGTAATAAGAAAATTAAAAGTAGATTCAAAATTTCTTTGGTTCATCTTAGTGAAATTTGTTAAAGAATATAGGTTACCATGACAACTGATAAAGTCCTTAAAAAAAGTAAGAGGAGCCTGGAAGGTGGTGGCGCATGCATTTAATCCCAGCACTCTGGAGGCAGACACAGGAGGATCTCTGTGAGTTTGAGACCAGTCCTGGTGATAGGGAATGTTCTTCTGTAAATATGTTTTTCTTATTGCTCGATGAATAAAACACTGGTTAGTAGGCAGGCAGGAAGTATAGGTAGGGCTACCAGGCGAAGAGAATGCTGAAGCCACCAGAGAGAGACACCATGTAGCTTTTGGGAAGATAGGACACCAGAAGTTCTCCGGTAAGATAAGACAATGTAGAAATACACAGATTAGTAGTTATGGGTTGATAATTAACAGTCAGCCAGTAAGAGAGCCATCGGCCAACAGTTTGTAATTAATAGATGCCTCTGTGTGTTCATTTAGGGCTAAATGGCTGCAGAACCAGGTGGGAAAGAAACTCTGTCTACAAGATGGTTTAGAAACATTCACATTAAGGTTATATAATAAATGCGAGTTGGAGAGGAAGGGGAAAGAACTCTTGTGTGACAGCAGGCAAGCTACTCCTATGCTTTATTCTCTTTATCTGTAAAGTAGCAATAGTAAAAATGTCTACTACATAGGCTGGAGAGATGGCTGAGTGGTTAAGAGCCAGCCCATCCTGCTCTTGAAGAAGACCTGAGTTCAGCTCCCAGCACCCACAATTCACATCTGCCTGTACCTCCAGCTCCAGGGGAATCTGCCATCCTCTTCTGGATCCACAGACACTGAATTCATATGCACATACCAAAATACACAAAAACATTCAGATACTGAAAAATAAATCATTAAAAATGTGTCTAATGCCAGGCGTTGGTGGCGCACGCCTTTAATCCCAGCACTCGGGAGGCAGAGGTAGGTGGATCTCTGTGAGTTTGAGACCAGCCTGGTCTACCAAGCGAGTTCCAGGACAGGCGCCAATACAGAGAAAACCCTGCCTCGAAAAACCAAAAAAAAAAAAAAAGTGTCTACTACAGCTGGGTATGGTGACTCAGGCCTATAATCCATGCACTTGGGAGGTTGAGGCAGGAAGATGTTGAAGTTGAATTTGAGATCAGTCTGGAATACATACAGAGGTGCTATTTCAATATTATTATTAATATAATTATTATATTAATATAATTACATCATGCCATATATTAATATGACAATTATATTATTAATAACCATATTAATAATAGCCAGGTGTGGTGGCATACCCCTTTAATCCCAATACTCAGGAAGTAGTGGCAAGTGGATCTCTGAGTTCAAGGCTGGAACAGAGGTAGTTCCAGCACAGTCAGGGCGACATAGAATACAGAACTCCTGTCTCAAAAAACAAAACAATAACAATAATAGTAATAATAATAATAATAATAAATTTCTAATTTATGGAATTACTTAAGCACTATCTAGCTGAGCTTTGTATACTTCACTAGATATTACTATTGTTACTTTACTGACAGGAAAACAATTAGTTTCCCAAGAGCCATTTACTGCTATTTGTTTACTTCCCTTTGTGTGGGTGTTTATATACGTTTATTATGTTAGGTGTGTGTGGTGTTGTGTATGTACTGGTTGGTGTGTATGTTTGTGCATATGTAAGTGGAGACCAGAGCTTGACATCAGTTGTCTGTTCAGTCACTCGCTCTCCATCTTATTTATTATTCTCGTGTGTGTGTGTGTGTGTGTGTGTGTGTGTGTGTGTGTGTGTGTGTGTGTGTGTGTGTGGTCAGAGCACCACTCTCAGGAGTCAGTCCTCCCCTGGGTGAGGAAGGGCCTCTCTACTATGCTGCATTCTCTAGGCTGGTTGACAAGCTTCTGGGTGACCCTTCTGTCTCCACCTTCCATCTCACCAAAGGAGGAGGGATCACAGATAAGACCCAGGACTGAACTCAGGTTGGTGGGTTTATGTTTCCACTGTTTCTAACCACTGAACAATCGTGTTGGCCTTCCAACTTAGTTTTTGAAATAAAGCCCTTCATTAAACCTGAATGTCACTGATTTGGCTAGGCTGACTGGCCAATGAGCTTCAGAGACCTCTCTGCCCCGCCCCAAGACCCAGGGTTACAGACGTAGAAGACCATCACCGCCTGCCACACAGGCCCTGAGCATCTGAACTTGGGTACTCACTCTTGATGCACACTTGTCCAGCTGAACCATCACCCCAGTCTCACTTCACTATTTTTAGAGTTTTACATACCAGCTATAAAAGTTGATAAAACTGACCGTTCATTAAGAAAGGTAATAAACTGGCTTACCTTGAGCTATAACTAAGTCCTGGTGACTTCACATATAACACTACATAAATTATAAATGTTCTTTTGCTAGGGAAAAAACTAAGTAACAAGGCATAGCTATTTTCCTTATCAGCATACCAACAATAAAACATAGAAAGCGATTTGGAGTTCAAAACTAAAGTGATGGCCGGCAGGATGGCTCAGTAGGTAAAGGCATTTGCCATCAAGGCTGATGACCTCAGTTCAGTGCCCAGAACCCACAGGGTGAAGGGGAGAAATGCAGTGAACAATCCTTCGGTACACTGTGAATATGTGTATCTTATCTGGGTGGGAAGTTAGGCGGGAAAGCCAAGCTGAGAATGATGGGAAGAAGGAGGGAGAAGAGAGAAGAGAGATGCCAGGCAGCTGTTGAGCAAGCAGGACATGTAGAAAATGAGGCAACAAGCAGTTCATTTCTGCAATCCCTCCTCAGGTGGCTGAGGCAGGAGGAAGGTGGTGAGTCACAAACCAACCTGGCCTACAAAATATGACCAGATCTCAAGCAAATAGATAAAAGTTTTTAAAAAGTTCTATCACTAAGGACCTTTAAGCATGGGGAAAGAGAATATATTTAATGAAAGTAGTCACTCCTGACTAAACATTTAAACCATCTCCTTAAAAACAGAACGCAAGACAGTGAGATGGCATAGGGGTAAGGACACTTGCTGCCAACTTAGTTCATTCCCAGGACACACACAGTGGAAGAAGAGAACCAATTTTCAAATGTTATCCTCTGACTTCCACACACCAGATGCAGCGTGTGCATTCCCCTCCCCTGCAACACACACAAAAAACAAACAAACAAACGAACAAATGTAAAAGAAAATCAAATGGTTTCTTGGATGTTAGAGAATACAATAAAAATCACTACAGAGGTGTGCTTACCCAGTGAGGCCACATTTCGGTAGTTCTCCATCATCACGTCTTTGTACAGATCCCTCTGTGCTAGGTCCAGGTACTCCCACTCTTCCTGGGAGAAGGCTATGGATACATCACTGAACATCACTGCTACCTGAAGGACAAACCAGATACAGCTGAAGCAGACAAAAAGCATTTCTTCCTTCCTTCCTTCCTTCCTTCCTTCCTTCCTTCCTTCCTTCCTTCCTTCCTTCCTTTCTCCAAGACAGGGTTTCACTGTTTATCTCTGGCTTTCCTGGAACTCATTCTGTAGATCAGGCTGGCCTCAAATTCAGGGTTCTACCTCTCTCTGCTTCCCAGGTGCTGGGACTAAAGGCGTGCATCACCACTGCCCAGCTGACAAAAAAAGCATTTAAAGCCAAAAGAGAAGATACCAAAGACATACCTAGAGTAGTGGGCATTTACTTGTTTTGAGACAAATTTCCCCTATGGAACGCACTCACTGTGTAGCCCAGGCTGGCCTCATAGAGATCCACCTGCCTCTGCCTCCTAAGCGTTGGTATTAAAAGCTCGGTTCACCTCAGCTCAGAAGTGGGCCATTCCATCAACCAGGCTGGAGCTGGGAGAATAAGATAGGAAAATGAGGGTCCTGAAGCCAGGTGCTCACATGTACTAGGAGGCCCTGCTATTTTCCTCCCCCTCCTCTTCTCCTCCACTTCCATTCTCTCTCTTGTTATGGACCATCTTTTGGTTGCTACAAACTATGACATACTTCAAGAATCCAAACATGTTGGAAAGGCAAAAAAACTGATCCAGCTAAACAATGAGTGTGTACTTACTGGCTGGTTTCTGTCAAGTTAATACAAGTCTGAGTCATTTGGGAAGAGAAACTCAGTTACGAAACTGCCTCCATCACACTGATCTGTGGGAATGTCTGCAGGACATTTTCTTGATTGATGTGGGAGTGTGCACTATGGGTGGTGCACCCTGGCCAGGTGGTCCTGAGTTGTTGTATAAAAAATATAGCTGAGCTGGGTGGTGGCGGCAGCAGCGCACACCTTTAACCCCATCACTCAGGAGGCAGAGGCCGGATCTGTATGAGTTCAAAGTGGGGAGGGGGGGGGGGAGAACAGAGAGAGAGAGAGAGAGAGAGAGAGAGAGAGAGAGAGAGAGAGAGAGAGAGAGAGAGAGAGAGAGGAGCTGAGCATGCCAGGAAGAGCAAGCTAGTAAGCAGTATCCTCCACGATCTCTGTTTCAGTTCCTGCCTCCAGGTTCCTGCCTGGAGTTCCTGTCCTGACTTCCTTCATGATGGATAATAAGTTGTAAGATTAAATAAATTGCTGGGCAGTGGTGGTGTGCACCTTTAATCCTAGCACTTGGGAGACAGAGGCAAGCGGATCTCTGTGAGTTTGAGACCAGCCTGGTCTACAAAGAGAGTTCCAGGACAGCCTTCAAACTACAGAGAAACCCTGTCTCCAAAAACATCAACACAAAAAGATTAAATAAATAAAGTAATAAATTAAATAAATAAGCCTTTCCTTCCCCATATTGCTCTATGGTCATGGTGTTAACACAGCAACAGAGAGCTCCCAGGACAGATGTGATGAATACACTGCAGGCAGGGAGTCAAGAGTGAGAGACCAGGGGAGGGACAGCAGTACCCATAGCAAGTGAGTAGGAGGACCATGAATGCTGCATGCCAATAACCTGTGTGTGTGTGTGTGTCTGTGTGTCTGTGTCTGTGTGTGAATGCTGGATACCAATAACCTGTGTGTGTGTGTGAATGCTGGATACCAATAACCTGTGTGTGTGTGTGTGTGAATGCTGGATACCAATAACCTGTGTGTGTGTGTGTGTGTGTGAATGCTACATATCAGTAACCTGTGTATGTGTGTGTGAATGCTACATACCAATAACCTGTGTGTGTGTGTGTGTGTGTGTGTGTGTGTGTGTGTGGTGATACCTTGCTTGCACTAATAAAGCTTGTCTGTGGGGTCAGAAAATGGAGCTTGCCACTAGCAAACCATAAAGGTCTAGAGGTCTGTACAGACAGACAGGAAGTGAGGTAGCTGAGCAGGGATATAAGCAGGGAGAAACAGGAAATCGCTCTCTTTTCTGCTGAGACGCTAAGGAGGTAGGGTATGCTGTGGCTTGCTCCTTCTCTCTGATCTCTCAGCATTTCCCTCTATATCTGACTCTGGCCTTTTATTATCTAGACCAATTAAGAACTCTATTTACATGTATGTGTGTGTGTGTATGTAGGTGAGAGGACAACTTTGTGAAGTCAGTTTTCACCTTCACCTTTGTGGAACACTGGAGTCAAATCTCGGGTCACTAGGTTTATATCACCCTGCAGCAAGGGCCTTTGGTCTGCTGAGCTGCCGCATTGGTTCTAGTTTTTTGTTGTTTTAGAGACAGAATCTCACACTGAAGCCTGGTCACCTGGGACTTGCAGTCATTCCACCGCCTCAACTAGGTGTCACTGTCCCTAGCTCCAGTCTTGTCTTCAAGAGAAATCAGGGACTAGAGAAATGGCTCAGTAGGTAATGGCTATTACTACACAAGTACAGGGACCTGAGTTCAGTGTCAATCAACCACATAAATGCTGAGTAATGGAGGTCATAAGTGGTAATCCTAGCATTACCCATTTTACTGCAAATGTCACACTGCTCCTGGGCTCTTAGGGATTCCTAGTAAAGATCCTAAATCTCTCTGAATGCAAGTTTCAGACACATCCCTGCCCATGCCTAAATCCACAAGATCTCACCATATCTTAGCTGAAGTCAAACAACAGCACATTTATTTGTTTATTGGTTTTCAAGACAGGGTTTCTCTGTGTATCCCTAGCTGTCCTCTGTAACCAGGCTGGCCCCAAACTCACAGAGATCCACCTGCCCCTGCCTCCCAAGTGCCGGGATTAAAGACATGCACTAACCAACACCTGGGAACAACAGCAATTTATACACTTAGAAAACTAAAGTCTAGAAAAGCTCAAGAGTCTCCTATGCATAGGTAAATGGCCCCATCCTCTCTCATCAGCTTATAGATGTTGAATGATTTGTTCACTGAGCACATGAAAGACAGGAAAAGACAATGTCTGTGTCCTTCCCTCAGTGGATTTGAAACAACTGGGAAAAAGGTCCTGGATGGGGTTCTGACAATAAGTTTCACAATAAAGAAATGTTGCTATGTGTCTGGAAAAAAGGCTCCGCCATTAGAGTACTCACTGTTCTCACAGAGAACCTGGGTTAGGTTCCCAGCACCTACATAGTGGCTTATAGCTTTGACTGCAAATCCAGGGGATCCGACACCTTCTTCTGGCCTCCTTGGACTCTGGCACCCATGCGGTGCATATATATACATTCTCATATAGATGGTGCATATATAAACACTCATACACTTGAAAAGAATTTTCAGAAAGAGAAGTGCTCACAGGACCTTAACATGACAGTGTTTCCAGAAAAGAATGTGAACAGCTAACTCACACGGGCCATGGTTTAGAAGTTCATCAGTCTTCCGTGAAGTTTATTTCTTAGGAGAAGCGGAGTCCACTGAGGCCAGAGCTGTGGGGAAGAAAACAAGTCCATGAGATGAGATTGGCTCCAGATGTCCCCAAATGACCTCTCCATATAGGACCACAGATTCTTTATGCAATCCCCTTCAAAAAACACACTGTATTCACCAAACACAGGTAAAGAAATTCCTAAGCGCCAAGCCTGGCGGCCACGACACTGGGAAACTGTTGCTCAGCCTGCCCACAGCCAAGCCTGCTTCTTCCTGCCTCCAGCTGCAGAGATTACAGGCGTGTACCACCACCCCTGGTTTTTGACGGATGCTTTTTACATTGTTGTGCCGCCAGGGTTGCTATTAGTATATTTTACTCATGCAATAGATCAGAAATCCCACAATAAAAGAAACTAAATCAGACTTGAGGAAATTGAAAGTTGGGAAGTCGAATAGCTACGCATGGAAGGAATCGTTATTCTCATCCAAAAAGCTGGCTCTCATTCAGTCCTAGCCCTAGCTTGTGAAACCCACAATTCCCTGCTCCAATGGAATTTATGATTCATTAGACAACAGAAGTGATATCAAGCGACCAGGATATAAAATCTCACTTTAAGAATATCAATGCTCATATTATCAAGAATATGAGGAAATGGACATTCTAGCCCGTATGCCAAAGATAAAATTTAAATGTACTAGTAGCATTTAATCCAGGCAAACCCTTCGACTCAGAACTTCTACTCTAAGAGCTAAAGAAAACAATTATATTTACGATCATCAAAGATACACATCAAGTATGCTGACAGGATGGCTCAGCTAGTAAAGATACTTGCCACCAAGATTCATGATGACCAAAGTTTGATCCCTAGAGTTCACATGGTAGAAGGAAAGAATGACTCCCATAAATTGTCCTCTGAACTCTATACATTCTTTGGTATGCACACACAAACACACATCCACACATAGAAATAAATAAATGAGGGGGCTACATTAAAAGACATTGTCCATACAGGAAAAAAAGACTGTAAAAAAAAACCCAAATATCCTTTAATAGGAAAGAGACTAGATAAGCAATACAGGACCTATAGGATAAAAAGAAACCTGCCATTTCAACATGATACATATCAGCTGGGCAGTGGTGGTGCACGTCTTTAATCCCATTACTTGGGAGACAGAGGCAGGTGGATCTCTGTGAGTTCAAGGCCAGCCTAGTCTATAGAGCGAGTTCCAGGACAGCCAGGGCTGTTACACAAAGTAACCCTCTCTCAAAGAACAAAACAACAAAGACAAAAAAGAGTGCATTTTGCTCTTGCAGAGGAGCTGAATTCAATTCCCAGGGCCTGCCTCTGGTGGATCATAACTACTCTTAACTCCAGCTCCCAGAGGACCCCATCTCATGCCTCTGGTCTCTGTGGGCACCAGCACTCACATGTACATACACATAACTAAAAAGATAGTAAATCTTAAAATGTACTTCACAATTAACTAGCTATACATATACACCAGTCCCCTTGATGGAGGAAATCACCCCAAATCTCCACAGTAACAAGCAACTGTTCACTAAGCATTTGGTATTTATGAAGTATCAGAAACTGTTTTAATAGCCCTACAACACAGTACTAAAAATAAAACACACCAGGTGGTGGTGGCACATGCTTTTAATTCCAGCACTTAGCAGGCAGAGGCAGGATGATCGCTTAGTTCGAATCAGCTTTAGGACAGGCAGGGCTATCCAGAAAAACCCTGTGTCAAAAAAAAAAAAAAAACACAAATAAATAAATAAATACACAGTCATAAAAATAAATCTTAATCTCCTTTGAGAGGGTTTTAAAGCATTAAGCATTGAAAAATGGATATGTGCATACAGGCATATATGGTGTAAAGAGTCAGTCACTGTTCCCAAGAAACACATGTTTAAAAATAACAAAAGTTCTTATCTACTAAAACCTACAAGTTTTTAAAGTTAAATTTCACAGATCAATGAGGTAACATTCGATTCCCTTATCAGGCAAGAGCAGTTTGTTCCTCTGGTTCCTGGGAGCACTTTAAGACTTCAGCAGGACCGGGGTAGGAGAGCATCTTAACATCCAAACTTTTCTTGGAGCCTTATCCAGCCTGGTGACATCAAAGCACAGGACACAACCAGTCACTACCATCAGTCACTCGCACATAGGAGGAGAGGGTACCCTTGTCCTTTCCCGCTATCTAAGAAAGGCCAGGAGGGCGAACAGCCATGGCTGGAACGGCGAGTTTACAACAGCTCCCTAGCTGGACCCACGTAGCCTGCCCAGTATGAGACTGTGTCCGGGCTTTCTGATATGTTGGGGGGTAACCCCAGGGAGCCAGCCAAGGGTGGGGGAGGTGTCGTTCAATCTACCGTTCTTTTCCCAAGATCGGGAGTTCTTTGCTTTGTTTGCTGGGAGTCTTTTGTGTGGCGCTCAGGTGAATGGCTGGGGGCTGATGTGGTTACGCCGCAGCTGGCCCTGGGGCCAGAATCACACCCTTCACCGCCTCGGCCACCTGGCCCACACTGGCCGCCCTGCATCCCATTCACTCACACAAATGCCATCTCGCTGTGGTCTCCCGGCCGCAATCAGCCGCGGGGCCACCCTGCCACGCCCAGCAGGCACAGCTCGCCTAGGTCGTCCCCACGCAGCCAGCGATCGACACACGGACCCCAGTCCCTCCCTGTACCCCCTTACCCCGCAGAGCCTTCCCCTCGTCCACGGGACCAGGACACGGACGCCGAGCTAGCACCGCTCCGCCCCCACGCCGCTGAGGTGTCACCAGCTGGGACAGCGCCGGACCGGTGACTGTCCTCGGACTCCGGAGGGCCTAATTGGCCGCGCGGGGGCTGCTGGGAGGGACAGCCGCACGCGCCAGTGCGCAGGCGCTGCCGTGCCCGCAGGAAGGGGGCTGGGCACTCAGTTTTGTTCTGGGATGCAGGACTAGGGGAGGCACAGGGACTTCAGCTTTACTTAAGTCTTTGGGGAAACAACTGGTTTTCTTCTGGAAAAGTATGTTATTTGGCAGGCTTGTTGTGGAGATGACTGCAAAATGGGTGTGTTTTAGAGTAAGATTTTAAAGGAAATTCCTATCATATAACCCGGATAGTTTTGTTTTTTGTTCTAAGATTCATTCTATATGTGTATGGTTGTTTTACGGAATATATGTACATGCATCGCCTGCATACCTGGTGCCCACTGAGGTCACCATGGATGCTTGTGTGCCACCCTGTGGTGCTGCAGCAGGAACAGAGTCCCATGATCCACTGCAAGAGGAAAGGTTTCCTAGGAGCCGAAGAGGGCCTTGGTCAGATCTGAGAAACTCTAGACTATGAAAAAAATAAGACAAATAAGAGACGTATTATGGCTAGAGTAGTCCAGGATCAAGGAATCGTATACCTTTCTTTGGGGGGGTGTGTGCACGCGCGCGCGCGCGCGCGTGTTTCTGAGATGGGGTTGACGGGGTTTCTCTGTGTAGCCCTGGCTGTCCTGGAACTCACTCTGTAGACCAGGCTGGCCTCAAACTCAGCAACCCACCTACCTCTGCCTCCTGAGTGCTGGGGTTAAAGGTGCAAACCACGGAAACCCAGCTTTTTATTTATTTTTATGTTCATTGGGGTTTTGCCTGTAAATATGTGAGTGTAGTGCCTCCTGGAAATGGAGTTACAGAGAGCTATGAGCTGCCATGTGGGTGCTCGGAATTGAACCTGGCTCCTCTGGGCAAACAGTCAGTGCTCTTAACCACTGAGCCATCACTCCAGCCCAATACCTTTATTCCTTGACCAGGGAATTTTTTTTTCTTTGTTAAAGCAAAATAAGAAACTAAAGTAGCATGAGTGCATTCTGATACCGTTAATTCAAATTTAACATCACTGATTCCCCACCCCACCCCCCAGTCTTTTTGTTGAGACAGTGTTTCTCTGTGTAACAGCCCTCACCGTCCTAGAACTTGTTTAGTAGACCAAGCTAGCCTCAAACTCACAGAGGTCCACCTGCCTCTGCCTCCCAAGTGCTGGAATTAAAGGCATGTGCCATCACCACCAAGCCCTCTTCTGTCTTTTTAGTTCCTTGTTTCTTTACTAGTCACAAAGACTATTTCTTCGCTTTATCTTACAATTACTAGTTTTCAAATTGGCTGGGTGTAGTGACACATGCCCTTTGTTCCAGGGCCTCCAGGAAGGAGGATCTCTATGGAGTTAGAGGCCAGTCTGGCCTATATGCTGTGAGTTCCAGAACAGCCAGTGCTATGTTAAAAATAATAAGCTTAAATTAAAAAAAAAAATCTTGGTTATTAGCTGTTCTTAGCTGTTAGGTGTTCACCAGCATGTAACAGACCAGATTTGGTCGGCAGACTTTAAGTTGACAACCTCTGGTTCATAATAGGTAGTACATAAGAACAGATAATAGCTAAGTTGCTGTATTTTTTAAAATGTCAAAAAAAAATAATGAAGGTATGTTGGCATACCCCTGTAATCTCAACACTTGCAACACAGAAGGATCACTCACAGTTCGAGACCAGCCTAAGTTATACTGTCAATTCCAAGCCAGTCAGGTCTATTAAAAAAAAAAAAAAACATTGTCTTAAATACATAAAGTAAAAGCGATAATTAAATTTTTGATTCATTCATTATCTTTAATTATATTCCCTAAGAATACGATCTGCAGAAAATTAAGCCTTTCAATAAAAAGTAATAACAATGAATAAAAAGTAGCGACTAACATACAGCCTGTTACTATCCGGCAGGCACGACCCTAAGCACCATGAATCTTAACTTCATTCTAATGAAATATTGGGCTAGGTGGTATAATTGTTTCCATTTGATAGTACCCACTAAAAAACTTTTAAAAAATGAAGGGTCGTAATCCCAGCACTTGGGAGGCAGTGGTAGGTGGATCTCTGGTCAACAGAACAGCCAGGACTACAGAGAAACCCTGTCTCAAAAAATAAGTAAGCAAAAGTCAATCCAAAAACCAAAGGACCCTAGCTGAGCATCTATCTGCCTATAACCTCAGCACTGGAGTCTGGGCAGAGGTACTGAGTTTGAGGCCAGACTGGGGCACAAAGTGGGGTACCGTGTCTCAGCAAATAAACCAACCTACCTGCCAAACAGATAGTTCAAGATGAGCATGATTTAGTCCCAGCTACTCTGGAGACAGAGAAGGGAATGAAGATCAATTGAACCCAAGGGTCTGAAACCAGCCAGGTGACATCATGGGGCACATGAGATTAAAAGTACTTGCTGACAAGCCCAAGGATCTGAGTTCAATCCCCAGGACTCACACACTGGAAGAGCACCAACTCCTACAAGTTACTATTTGGCCTCCACACATGTAATATGTTGTAACTCATTTACACATGCATGAAATGAATGTAATTTTAAAAATGACATCTGATCTGAAACCAGAAACTTGCCCTCTAAATAAAGAACTGATGGCTACACTTTGGGAAAAGAAATGGGTGCAGTTTGCAGTCAAAAGATGTTTGTCTTCTTAATGTTTAAATCTTCCATAAGGAAAATGCGCTGTCTTATTGCTACAGTCAAAATTCAGAGCATTTAAGCCAGGGAGGCGGCTCGGGGGAGCCTGCTGCTCATTACTGGGGAAGCACATGGTGGAAGGAGAGAACCAGCTCCCCATGACCTCCACAGCAAGACTGCTGCACAAGGACTAACACTGAACAAACAAAATGTGGGACCAGGCATGCTGGCACATGCCTCTCAACCCTGCACTCAAAGGCAGAAGGCAGAGGCAGGCAGATTTCTGTGTGTGTTTGAGGCTAGTCTGCTCTACACAGTAGACAATTGGGTTTATGTAGAAAGACCCTTGCTCTACACAGTAGACAATTGGGTTTATGTAGAAAGACCCTGTCTCTAAAGTAAACAAACAAGCAGAGAGATAAATAAAATAAACAATGGAGTTGAGGAGCTGGCCCATTGGTTAAGAACACTGGTTGTTCTCAAGAAACACCTAGGAAGAATGCCCACTGGGGGCACATATATAAGCATGATATAAGCATGTGTCATGACAAAGCATCTGAAACAAAGTCCCTAGGAGGCACTTAAAATGACTTACCAGTAGCACAATGAAAGTCAAGATCAGAGTCCTGCCTGATTGCTAAATGCTTAGGGTTTTTATTGTTGTTGTTTGTCAAGGCAGGGTTTCTCTGTGTACTCCTGGCTGTCCTAGAACTTACTCTGTAGACCGGCTGGCCTCTGGCTCCCATGTGCCACCATGAAGGGCCACTAACCTTGATTGTCAACTTGAGATTTAGAATCACAAGACATCACTGGGAGTCTGGGAGTGGAAGAATAATATATTTCCAGGCAGTTTTAACTCAAGTAGGAAGACACACCCTGAACTAAAACAGGGCATTCGGGTGGGGGGGGGGTCTGTGAATTGGAGATGGCTCAAAAGAGTACTTGCTATTCTTACAGAGGACCCAGATTATTCCCAGCACTCACATGGTGGGTCACATATCCTTAAGCATATCTGGTGTATTCATACATGCAGGCAAAGCTTACACATAAATCTTTAAAAGGTTTTTAAGCAAGCTAGACACTTGCGTTCATTTTTCTGCTTCCTGACTGCAGACTCAATGGACAGTAGCCTCATAAACCTTTTGCCATTCCTGTCCTGCCATACTGTACCCTCAAACTGTGAGCCACACTGAACTCCACAGCAGCACAGATAGGGAACCTCAATGCACAAGAGAAAAGGCTACTCCAGAGACCTGATCTGCTTCCAATACCCACAAAGGCAGACTTTAGATTCCATTGGTAGGGACATAACAGGCCATAAAAATATGTGCTTTCCAAAGTTCATCTTGTCAGAGTCAGCAAATAAAGTCTACTTCCGGGGCAAGAGATTGCTCAGAGGTTAAGAGCACTGGCTACTATCATACAGGGCCTGAGTTCTGTTTCCAGTACTCACATGATGGTTCACAACCACTTGGAAACTGTTTCAGGGGCTCCAATGCTTTCCTCAGGCCTCAGGCACCAGGCAAACAGTTGGTACACGTGCATTCATATGTGCAGGCAAAACACCCAGGCATAAAAAATAAACTAATAAAACTTTAAGGAAAATTGCTCTGCCTTAGTGCCAGTTGGTACTTTTCCAGACGCCATCTCCATCAAGGGTATCAACAGCAATTAGGCTGTGCTCACTTGGGCTTTAAATGATGTATAACCCTCATGTTCCTAGCATTCTTTCATCTATATCTAACTGATTCTCCTCATAAACCACTATACAACTTCATTTATTGAGAAAATTTATTTTAACTTTTTTTTTTTTTGAGACAGGGTTTCTCTGTGTAGCCCTGGCAGTCCTGGAACTCTGACTGGCCTCGAACTCACAGAGATCCTCCTGTCTCTGCCCCCTGAGTTGTTGGGATTAAAGGTATGCACAATCATGCCCGGCTATAAAATTCTTTAACTCTTAACCTTGTTATAAATGACACTTTGGGCGTAATGTTAGAAAGGTGTTGCTTTCTTAGCAATCTTTTCAGATGTAACTTGAGAGCCACCAAGATCCTGTAAGTACTCACTGAAAGCACCTAACTGTGACACTTCCCTAGAAACACCCACGTTTCTCCTGTTAGGTGAGCTTTACCCATCCTCTCTTGGAGCACTTGCTTCCTATTTTTAATAAAGCCAATTCTGCTCCCTCTGAAGTTCTCCTTGATGACGTGTCTCTCAGTCTGGCTTGGTTGGTGGTCTCTGAAGAGAATCCCAGGCAGCTGCTACTGTGGGGCTATGATTCTACTGCACTGACAAACTCTTCAAGCTGCTTTTGTAAGGTATTTTGTCAAAGCTGAAAGTTGTTCATGAACATGTTTACAAGAGCATGATTTATGAAAAGCCAAAGAACAAACAAACCACCTTTCAAACTAAAAATGGCACTACCATTAACTTTGAAAATCAAGGTACTTTGTAAACTTTGATATTAACAGAAAAGGTTTATAGCCATGTAAAAAATGGATTAGAATGTTAATGTAACAAACACACACAAACACACACACACACACACACACCCTAAGGAAACAATGAAAACCATGATTATATTGCTACATGAATCCTGATGTTTAAGGTCAAAGGATTGTTTTCAATGATATGCAGACTGAATAAAGAAATAGGAAGTCACTAAAAGGCTTCCAGAATATACTATATTCATAGGGTATCTCTCCAATATGGATTTTCTTCAGATGAACAAGCTGAGGTCAACAAGTAAACTGTTTCTACATTCTTCAGCCTAGAGGGATCTTAAAGGTAGATTCTCTGATAGTTTTGCATCTTCACATACATGTTTTTGTTTATCACCAATATAAGTTTTGATGCTGAATAAGCTGTGAGTCATACTTAAAGTTCTTTCCGCAGTCCTCGTATTTGTAGGCTTTCTTACCTGCATGGATTCTATGATGACTGATGAGTTGTGAGCTCTGAGAATAGGCTTTCCCACAGATCTTACATTCATAGGGTTTCTCTCCAGTATGAATTCTCTGATGTCTAGTGAGGTCAGAACCAGACCGGAAAGCCTTTTCACACTCCTTACATTCATAGGGTTTCTCCCCAGTGTGTATCCTTTGATGTTTGATAAGTTGTGAACTCTGACTAAACGCATTGCCACAGTCCTTACATTCATAAGGCTTCTCTCCAGTGTGAATTCTCTGATGCTGAGTAAAATTTGAACCACTACTAAAAGCCTTCCCGCATTCTTTACATTCATAAGGCTTCTCACCAGTGTGAATTCTCTGATGGCGAGTAAAATTTGAACCACTACTAAAGGCTTTTCCGCAGTCCTTACATTCATAAGGTTTCTCACCTGTGTGAATTCTGTGATGCCGTGTCAGGTCTGAGGCACAAATAAACGTTTTTCCACACTCCTTACATTCAAAGGGTTTCTTCCCAGCGTGAATTTTGTGATGATGAGTAAGTCCTGAAGGGTGTCTAAAGGTCTTGCCACAGTCCTTACATTCGTATGGTTTCTCAATAGTGCGAATGATTTGATGGGTAGCAAACTGCGAGCCATGCTTATAGAGTTTCCTATTTTCTTTACTTGCACAATACTTCTCTTTATTCTTAAGGATTTGCTGCAGCCTGAAGGATGGATACTGACTGAGAGTGGGCACGTCTTCATGAATGATTACCAGTTCGCTAAATTGTCTCTCCTGAGATCCACGCTGTCCCGTACACTGGCCACTCCATTCCCAGGCACCGCTGAGACTAGTGCACTGAAGGTCCTGTCTTGTGAGTTTTCTCATTATCTCCCACTGTGCTGACTCTATTTCATATAGCTCCTTCTTCAAAAACAATTTCTGGGCCTCACATCTTGATTCCAGGACTAAAAGAAAATACACAATTCATCACTTGCTTTTTTATTGTTTGTGAGACATGAAAATTCAACTAGATATAAGCATGGGAGAGCTAAATTGAGTTTTTAAGACTAGATGATGGTCAGATGGCATACACTGATAAGCTCGGCACTCAGGAAATGAAGACAGGAGGGTCAGGAGTTCAAAGTCATCCTGAGTTTGAAGCCAGTCTGGGTTTTATGAGAATCTGTATTAAAAAAAAATCTGAGTCTGGAACAGTTCAATGGTTAAGAAACTTGCAGTTCTTGCAAAGAACCCAGGTTCTGTTCCCAGCACCCACAAAGTGGTCACAACTGCTTGTAACTCCAGTACAAGAATAGTAGAGGCCATTTTCTGGCCTCCATGGCCACCAGACATGCATGTGGTACACATGCATACATGTAGGTTAAACCTCATATGTGTGTGTGTGTGTGTATATATATATATATGGAGAGAGAACTTTTTAAAAAAACAATCAAAGCTGAGTGTGGTGGTAGACACCTTTGATCCCAGCACTGGGGAGGCAGAGGCAGGCAAATCGGTTGTTTTAACCTCAGCACAATGGCTGCACCTTAACCTATTGCTATTTCAGCCACCAACTGCAACTCCGCAGTTACCAGCCTATTTCTCCGGCAGCAGCCCGCAGGCACTGGCTCTGTTGCCGCTGCTAACAAGGTTGCTTTAATAAAATCTCTATCATTCTATTTATAAATAAGACTGGGGTGAAAACCTGATAGTTCAGAGAGGTTGAGTAGCAACTAGCTAACCTTCTCTCCTGGCTGGGATCTCTGAAAAGAAGCATCCTTCTGCTTTGGCAAACAAAAAAACCAGTTACTCCCAACTTCTTCTGGTGCATCTCTCTATCTCTTCCAGATGCCCTCTGATGTTCTATGGTTACCTTCTGCCAACTAAGTTGCTAACTCAGCCTCCTGATTATCACAAATGCAAACTTGGGGTTCATAGTATGGATCAAATATCCCCCAGCAAAAATCTCTGAATTGAAGGACAGCCTGGTCTACAGAGCTAGTTCTGAGACAGCCAGAGCTGTCTTGGGAAATTAAAAAAAAATGATAAAGATGTCAGAGATGGCTCAGCAGTTAGGAGCACTTGTTGCTCTTGCAGAGGACCCAGGTTCAATTCCCAGTATACACATGGTGGCTCACAACTGTCTACATCTCCAATTCCAGGGGATCCAATGCCCTCTTCTGACTTCTGTGGGCACCAGGCATGTAGTGTACATGGTGCACATACTTACATGGGAGGCAAAACAGTCATACAAAAAAAATACTTTAACAGACCTTTTAAAACAATAAATAAAATAGAAGAGAAAGCCAGGTGTGGTAGCTCACACTTGTAATCGAAGGAGTCCTGAGGCTGAGAAAAGAGTTGCTGTGATTCAAGCCAGTCCGAGCTACACGGCTTCACAAGCCTGGGTTACAAAACAAAACCCTGTCTCAATAAAGCAAGATGAGACAATAAGAGATGATATAATGATTACATAGGTTTTGTGAACTATGTGATATGTAGTAGGGACTCAATACTACTATGAAATAAAATTCTTAACCAAGTCAGGAATTACTCCACTTCCAGGAATTAGATGCCCTCTTCTGACCTCCATGGGTGCTGCATGCACATAGCGCACAAACATACATTCTAAGTCCCTGTCTCCATTCATCATGTGTCATCATCCCCCCTACTCCACCCCACCCCACACAAACACTTGTGAGCTCTAGGCTACTCATATACACAGTTACAGGACAGGCAGAGCTACTTAGAGCGACCCTACCTCAAAAAATACATACATACATACATACATACATACATACATACATACATATATACACACATACATACACACACACATACATATACACACACATAGAAATTCTTTTCACAGTCATGTCAGTGATTAAATAAAGCAACTTATTCAGGAATAGGTGTGAGAATACAAATGAAGGTGTGACACCAAATAAAACCTCCCTATAAATATGAGCAAGATGACAGTGCTTGTCTCTTTGCAGAAATATCAATTTGAACAACTATTTATCCATAGAAATAGCATGTAGGTGCTAGGTAATCTAATCTAGAGATGTCAGCACCAGGGTGGAGGACACATTAGCAAACTTGGTGGCACAGGTCCATTATCCTATCTACTTAGAAGGAGTTGGAATGTTAAGACCTGCCTGATTTAAGAGTGAGTTCAAGGTTGGCCAGCCCTTGCCTCAAATAAACAGAAAGAAAAAAAGTAAGGTGGTGGCATGCACCTTTAATCCCAGCATTTAGGAGGGAGAGGCAGGTGAATCTCTGCGAGTTCAATGCCAGCCTGGTCTTCCAGGACAGTCAGGGATATGCAGAAAGACCCTGGCTCAAAATAACATAAAGAATGAGCCAGGAGGTGGTGGTGCACACCTTTAGTCCCAGCACTCAGGAGGCAGAGGCAGGTGGATCCCTGCAAGTTCAACAAGATCAGTCTGGTATACAAGAGCTGGTTCCAGGACAGGCTCCAAAGCTACAGAGAAACTCTGTCTCAAAAAAATAAAAAAAAAAAAACAGAAAAGAAAAAATGTGTAGGCAACTGGATGGGACTAGATATTATATTGAGTAAAGTAACCCAGACCCAGAAAGACAGAAGCCACATACTCTCTCGTGTGTGGTTCCCAGCTCCAAGTCCTCAGATGAGAATATATGTATAACCTGGAGCAGCTGCAGGAATGAGGAGGGTGAAAGGGAAACTGTTCCAGGGGGAGCTCTAGAAAATGGTGTGTGGGGGCTGTCCTTTAATTGGGGAGATGAACAATACAACAATACAGAAGAGAAAGGGGAAGGGATAAACAACACTAAAGACAGTTGGGAAAGCGGTAGGATTTTTTGTTTGTTTGTTTGGCATCATTTGGGAAAGCGGTAGGATTTTTTGTTTGTTTGTTTGGCATCATTTGGGAAAGCGGTAGGATTTTTTTGTTTGTTTGTTTGGTTTTTTGAGACAGGGTTTCTCTGTGTAACAATCCTGGCTGTCCTGGAACTCGATCTGTAGACCAGGCTGGCCTCGAACTCACAGAGATCCACCTGCCTCTGCCTCCCAAGTGCTAGGGCTAAAGGCGTGTGCCCACTGCCCACCTGAAATCATATTATTTGATATTTACCTAAAATTGGATATATTAAGTATATGTGCAAGTACACACATACACATCACAACTAAGCCTAAATACTATTATTTTGGGTGAGGTGGAGCAAAACTCAAAGATTACTTGTGGAAGGCAATGCCACCTACTGCCTCACCCTATCAGGTCTAGAGGCTTGCTGTCTGTGACAAAATTCATCCCTGACCCCAAGCAGGGGAACAGAGCCCAAGAATGACAGTTTCTATGGCAGCCTCTGAGCCAGTGCTTGCCATAGTAGGACATCACCGAATTTGACAAGGCTCAAATTTTTTTTTAATGTATTTATTATGTATAGTATTCTGCCTGCATGTGCTCCTACAGCCCAGAAGAGGGCACCAGATCTCATTACAGATGGTTGTGAAACCATCTGGGAATTGAACTCAAGACCTTTGAAAAAGCAACCAGTGCTCTTAACCTCAGAGCCATCTCTCCAGCCCTCAAATTATTTTTTTTAACTTCTATAGTTCCTACCTGAGAACTGTACACATTAAAGAAACAGTAAATAGTAATTAAAAGGATGGACGAGTCAGAAGGTAGTAATGCACGTCTTTAATCCCAGTACTTGGAAGGCAGAGGCAAGAGGATCTTTTGAGTTCAAGGGCAGCCTGGTCCACAAAGCAAATTCTAGGACAGTGAGGGCTGTTACAGAAAGAAACCCTGTGTAGACAAACCAAAAAAAGGGGATGAATCAAGGAAGGCGTGGAACTTCTGAATAAAAACAAAACAAACAAAAAACCTAGTTGGGAAAACAAGTCTGATAGAATTGCAGGCCAGTGGTTGTGGTAGTTTGAATGTAATTGGCCCTCATATTCTCAGAGTGGCACTATTATGAAGTGTGGCTTTGTTGGAGTGGGTATGGCCTTATTGGAGGAAGTGTGGAGGTGGGCTTTGAGGTCTCATATATGCTCAAACCACACACAGTGTTTTCCGTTCACTTCCTGTTGCCTGATGATCAAGATGTAGGACTCTCAGCTTCAGCACCACATCTGCCTGCAGGCTGCCACGCTCCCCACCAATAAGGATGAACCCTCTGAACTGTAAGCCGTCACCTCACTTAAATGTTTTCCTTTAGAAGAGCTGCCATGGTCATGGTGTCTCTTCACAGCACTAGATACCTAAGACAGTGGCACAGGTCCTGGGCTAATCCCCAGAAGTAAAGTGGATGGAGAAGGGAGGAGGGGAAAGGGAAGAAAAGGAGGGAGGAAAGGGGTGAGTGATCTTCAACAACAGAGGAATATGCACACTCCAGTATTTAGACAGGAGATCCGCAAAGGGGCTACTGAGAAGTGTAGGAATCCAGACCAGACAGCCACTCAGACCACAGTACCTGCAGTTCCCTTCCAGCCTCACAGACACTGGCAGGCACACTATGGAGAGTAAGGTCTGTGAACACCAGCAAACAGCCTTCCAGGTCCTGGGATTTCTCATGTGCAGAAGGGAGTTTGCAGGTTTGACCTCCTGGTAGCCACACTTCCCTTCCCGCACTGCCTGATGGGGAATCAGAGGCCCCGTCTTCAGGCTCTCCCTGAACCCTTCCGCTTCCTCCAAGATCTATGCAACCCAGGTGTCACTCTTTAGAGTTCCCATGATGCTGTCTGTGATGCGGGGGCCTGAAGCCTCCTCAGAGGCTCGGTCACGCTGTAGTCTGTCAGTCCATGGGTTACTAACTCTTCTAATAAACATCTCACATGCTATGGACAATCCATCAAGTGTCCCCCTTGAGCCCCATATCTAAGACCTTTCAGCAAGCTTGCAGGAACTGGGTCCAAAGCACGCACTGCAGCAAGTGACAGAAAGGGAACGGGAGCTATGGGTCATGGAGGGAGATCAGAGCACCTTCTGTGACTCCATGCAGCTCTCTCTTCCTTTTCCTTTTTAAAGACAGGATCTGACTGCAGTGCTGGGTGGCCTGGAACTCAAGATCTGCCTGCCTCTGCCTCTAGTGCTGAAATTAAAGGTGTGCACCACCACGCCCAGTTCAAAATGGCTTTTTCAAAGGCAGGTGAGCATCTCAGACTTGGAGGGAGGGAGGAAAGAGACCTACCAACAGGCAAATCAGAGTTAGTACGGGTGTCCTTACCCATTGAAAGCAGGTTGCTGTAGTTCTCCAACATCACATCTCTGTACAAATCTCTCTGCTCCTCAGTCAGGCACTCCCACTCCTCCTGAGAGAAGTCTATGTACACATCACGGAACAGCACTGACACCTGCAACAATAACCACGTGCTTAATTAATAAGAATAACAATAAAATTGTTTCTGGGCAGGAAAAATAACGAAAGTTAGAACAAGCTAAAAGTAGTGAGCATGAATGTCTGGGATCCTAGGGAAGGCCTGTGACCAAACTACTGTGCTTCCATATATCACTGCTTCCTCCAAAGCCACCTGGGCTTAGTGAATTCCTCCATCATCCACATGAAGCTGGGAAGGCACAGATCTAGCTGGGAGGACTTCTGTGTTAAAGGAAATGATCTCTACCCAGCCTCATGTACTCTCACCACGTAGTCCACTAGTCTCAAACAGCCAAGAGTATAATTTCAGGATAGAGGAGGAAGATGGGACATTAGGAGTGTCCAGATACAGCGGGATACATAAGGGCAACTTAACACTTCCAAACACAAGGAACAGAGCAATTCTTCACTAACTCAGCGGAGAAAAATAAATTCTGACCTAGGATTCTGTAACTAAACTATTTTCTGCTCCGAGTGTACATTCTCAGATATACAAGGACTTAAGTACAAGTTTCTAGGAAACTACTGGAGGATGCGGTCCACCAAATTGAGGAGTAAACCAAAAGGAGCCATGGGATGTGAGGGACAGTTAAAAGTCGGCGAGAGAACAGTAGAGAAAAATTCAGGGGAAAAAAGAAAAGTTTCAGGAAACTGGTGGCAATTAGAGAGGACACAGTTCAGACGGGAATGAGGACACAAGGGGATGGAGAGGGTGTCTCCATCCAAAAGAAGCTGGTGTGTTTGACCAGACAGAAACACTGACTGTGTAGACCAGGCTGGCCTCAAACTCAGAGATCCACCTGCTTTTGCCTCCTACCATTGGGATTAAATTAAGACTTCCATTAGCACCACCCTGCTAGTTCTTGGCTTTTGAAGATAGGGACTCACTAAGTACCCCAGGGAAGCCTTGAACTCACCATTAGTGCAAGCTGGCCTCAAATCTACCATCATCCTAAGAGCTGGGATTTAGGCGTGAGTCACCACACTGGGCATAAATGACAACTTTTCATTTACCTGTAGACATTTAGGTTGATATTAATCTTTAAAGAGTTTCTTGAGCAGGGGAGGTAGCTCACTTGGTAAAGTACCTGTCTAGTAGGCATGAAAGCCTGGGCACCATCCCTAGAACTATATAAAGTGGGCACGCTGGCACATGCCTGTAATTCGAACACTTGGGAGGTGAAGGCAGTAGGAGGATGAAAAAGCCCAAGGTTATCTTCAGCGAAATAATGAGTTCAAAGCCAGCCTAAAAGATTGTCTCCAAACAAACACCCACAAAAGATAACCTGTAATATTGGGAACACTGTTATTTATAACCACCACTGCTAAACTGCCAATTGCACTTCTTACTGAGCTTCAGGAAAATAATGGAGAAAGATGATGCTTAATACAATGGTACTGGGCAGGAGAGATAGCTCAGCAGTTGAGAGCATCGGTTGCTCTTCCAACAGACCCAGGTCCTATTCCCCCACACCAACACTGGGGCTCACACCATCTGTAAATACAGTTCCAGGGAATGTGACACCCTCTTCTGGCCTCTGAAGGTTCTGCATACATGTGGTGAACAGGTACACACAAACAGGCAAAATACCCAAACACATGAGATTAAAATAATAATAATAATCCACAGCTCTCAAGAAAACAAAACAGAAAGCCCTCAGTGACGTTACAAATGGCTAAGTTTTCATGGATGCTCACCGGACTGTCAGAGCTTTGACCATCCGGCAGTCATACTTCCAAACTGAACAGGCTCACAAGCCAGGAGATATGCCATCCTAAGACTGAGACTGAGAATAGCTGTCATACTGATTTTCCTTCTTCCTTCTTTTCTGTTGTTTTTAGTTTGGGACAGCATCTCACTGTTTAGCCCTGGATGGCCTGGAACTCCCTATGTAGACCAGACTGGCCTTGAACTCTTCCCGCCTCTGCCTCCTGAGTGGTAGAATTAAAGGCATACACCACGTTTTGGTTGTGAGTCTAGCAACCGTTAACAGCTGAACCCCCAAAGCTTTTTTCTTTTCTTTTTTAAAGATGTATTTATTTATTATGTATACAGTGTTCTGTCTGCATGCATGCCTGCATGCCACAAGAGGGCACCAGATCTCATTACAGATGGCTGTGAGCCACCATGTGGTTGCTGGGAATTGAACTCAGGCCCTGTGGAAGAACAGCTAGTGTTCTTAACCGCTGAGCCATCTCTCCAGCCCCTTAAAACTTTTTTTCACTTTAGTCTATTGGAGACCCTGACCTTTAGAGCAGCAGTTCTCAACCTGCAGGTTGTAAGCCCTTTTTTTGGGGGGGGAAGGTTGTTGAAAGACCCTTTCACAGAGGCCACCTACAAAGATATTTGTAGCAAAACTACAGTTATGAAGTAGCAATGAAATAATTTTATGGTTGGGGGGGTCACCACAACATGAGGAACTATATTAAAGGGCAACAACCTCAGGGAGGTTGAGAGCCACGGCTATAGAGCAAGGGTGAGACTATGCTCTGCTTATAACTAAATTGAACGGTTTCTTGTTTAACACCAACCAAAAGAACATCGAGCATCAAGATGAAGAAAGCAGACATGTATTTGTACTAGAGGCAAAAATGACTCAATTTGGCCAGACAGTGGTGGCACACGCCTTTAGTCCCAGCACTCGGGAGGCAGAGGCAGGAGGATCTCTGTGAGTTCAAGGCCAGCCTGGTCTACAGAGCGAGTTCCAGGACAGGCTCCAAAGCTACAGAGAAACCCTGTCTCCAAAAACCAAACAAAAGACTCAATTTGAATAGAAAAGAGTTACACCTCACCTGAGCCATGGCTTGACAGTCGAAGCTCCTCTGTAATACTCTTCAGGAACAGAGTAGAACTGGGAGAGGCACAAAAAAATAATAATAATGAGACCCTACTTGACTCGGTCCCCACAACAATCACTCCTGTGTACTCACCCCCACACATCGAGGGGTCTAAGTGGGGAGAGTGGACAAATCTCTCAACATCAGCAACTCCAACTTCAGAAAACTGGGTTCTAGAATGGACCAGGCAGGGTTTGGGCAAATGACTCACATGCACATAAGCAAAAACACAAAGATAGACGATTCTTTTATAAACTAGATCATGATGGCGCATGCCTGAAATCTCAGCACTCACAACGCTGAGGCAGCAGCACTGCCACAGGTTTGAGGCCAGCCAGGCACACAGAGAGACTGACTCACTTCTCTACCTCTATACGGCCCTCTCCTCTCTCTCTGGCTTTGTGAGACAAGGTTCTGGCTGTCCTGGAACTCTCTCTGGAGACCAGGCTGGTCTTGAACTCACAGAGATCCACCTGCCTCTGCCTTCAGAGCAACAGAGCAGCACAGATGTTGTTGGCTGTTCCCTTTATTCGTATTTGGGGGGAGGGGGCACCACCCAGCTCCCAAATCATGATACAGAGTCTTATTCTCACCTATGAATGCCTGACCTTCGCTTGGCTTGTTTCTAGTTAGTTTTTCTTAAATTATCTCCAACAACCTTCTGCCCCTGGGCTTTCTCACTTTTACTTCCTGGCTGGCTGGTTGGCCCCTGGCTTCCTCCTCTCCTAGCCCTTTTCTGGTTCTGCTATCTCCTCCTATTTACTCTCTGCCTGCCAGCCCCGCCTCTCCTTTCTCCTGCCTTGCTATTGGCCACTCGAGCTCTTTATTAGGCAGGCAACGAATCACAGCTTCACAGAGTTAAACAAACCTCAACATAAAATAATGTAACACATCTTTGCATCATTAAAACACATGTTCCATTGCATAAACAAACGTAACACACTTTAAAATAAATTTGCACAACAATCAGGCTTAAAAGTAAATCTTTTCTTAAATCCCATTTTAAATCTTTTAGTTGTTGTTTTGTAAGGATGTGGAGCACGTCCCCCCACAAGAATCTACAAGTGCATCCACTCTGGTCTATTGTTACTAGATTGGAATACATGACTCAATACCTGCATTGGTGGAAAGGGAATCTCCTGCATCCTACTACAAAAGTAAATAAGTCTGGGAATAGTGACGGCACTCGGGAGGCGGAGGCAGGTGAGTCTGAAGTAAGCCTGGTCTACACAGCGAAATCTTGTCTCAAAAAAATACATAAAAAAAGTCACGGCAGTATGCATGTCTCCTATTAATAAATGAGATGAATGCACGCAGTGTACTTCAGATCCTGGAATACCAAGTCGCAAAACAACTGGGTAAGGCGCTATCCTATTCCACATGGATGGGTTCCACACAGGTGTACACACAAGACATAATAAAAGACAAAGGAGAGAATGCTGGCACTCACATGAAGTTCCAACATGAGGAAAACATAACGCACGCAGCAATATACATCCGAACCTTCACACACACACACACACACACACACACACACACACACCCCTCAACAGTGACATCCAATTCTAGGCAACCTACCTAAGCGAAGCCACACACTCGGGGACTCAGAAGGGAACATAAACACAACCGTACTTTTACCACGAGCACGGAATTCGAAGGTATGTCCTCCAGTACCGTGCCGAGCACGGTCACAACATCACACACCGCGGCCACAACAGGGACGGAACAACTCAACCGTCACAAGCACCCCACATCCACACAATACCGCACGTGGCCCCCGGCTTGCCCGCTCTCACTCACCAAGGGGTGGCGCCCACCACGGTGTTGTCAGAGACAGATGCCCCAACACAAGCGCAGCCCCTCTGCACCCCACGATCTCTCCCCACAAACTGACCGCGCAATTCCGACCTCAACCCCTCCGCCACACAAAGCTTGGGCTCGGGGTGCGCCCCGCCCTCCTCTCTGATCGCGCTCCTCCGGCCTTCCAAGCTTCCCAAACCCCTCAACCTCAGCAATTGCCAACTAAGCTCTCAGGTCCCGCCAGCGCCTGACTTTCCCGCGAGAAGCCGAGGAGACTTCTGGGAAACGTAGTCAGAGACAACGGCACAGCCAAGATGGCTCCCGATGGGCGGGATTTCTATGCGTGTTCCTATGAGGATTGGCCGAAAAGACCATCCAAACGCATGCCCAGCCTCCGTTATCCCCTTTAAAACGCACTCCAAAAAGCTAGTATGTTTTTATTTCCTGGTCCTTCGGTAGGCAATGGACAGCATCAGGAAAATGCGGGGGAGCAGTGGGGGCGGAGCGTGATTCGCCTAGCAAGAGTATGCACAATGCTGAGATTTCTGGGAAATGTAGTTCAGGGAAATGTGGGGGCGGAGACTGATGGCCAATTCAAAAGTATAAGCTTTTCGGTGTGGAACAGAAATGGGTCATATACTCTGGCACTTGGGAGCCACAGAATACTGAGTGTTACACAGCTCAGATGGAAAGGTATCCTGGAACTCGGGAGCCACAGAATACTGAATGTTACACAGCTCAGATGGAAAGATAACCTGGAGCTCGAGAGCCAAGGAATATCACAGGCTGCAGTAAGCTTAGCAGCTTACAGCCCTGCCTCAGGGAAAGGCTTCCCCAGAGTGTAGGCTCCACTCCTGGGGATGTTCGCCCAGCATAGCAGTTTGCTCGGCAGGAGGTTTGTGGAGAGTGGAGAGCAGAGAGCGGAGTTCTGCCAAGGGAAGTTTTTTCAGGGTGGGGATTGGTCCAATTTCAGTGCTGAGCTCAGATTGGCTAGAACTCTGCTCGAGGATTGGTTAGTTTTCTGCACAGGGGATTAGGGTCAGATTTGGCTCTGGCTTCAGAGCCAAAGTGTGCTTCTTTCTCTGGCCCTTTTTAGCCTTTTGGCTCCAATTTTAGGACCAGGTTGTACTTCTTTCACTGGTTCTGATTCCAGGGACAAAGTGTGTTTCTTTGGCACTGGTTTCAGTGTCAAGGTGCATTTCTTTGGTTCTGATTGCAGAGCCAACTGAGGTAAAATCTTATCCAAGGTTAATTGCAATAATTTTATGGACTCAGATTGGAGTGGTGCAATCACAGTCCAGCATGTATTTGAGGGAACATGGAAGGTGGTTACTTATAGACTATTTCATAGGGGTGAATTTTTCTAAGAAGGGTATAAGGTAAGAGGCCAACCCAGTTACCACTGGTCTCAATAGTTAACATCTTTAAAATTCTATTCATCCTTTCTATCTTTCCTAAGCTCTGAGGATGATACTTAAAAACAACAAAGTTTCCAACTTATATTAACACCTTTAGAAAGCAATTAAGATAATTTGGCTGTAAAGTGTGGGCCACTGTTGAACCCCAGAGATATGAGGTCAAATTTGGGGATAGTCTCTGTTATTAATGTCTTAGCTACCACTTGGTCCACTTCTGCTTGGGATGTAAAGGCCTCTTCCCAGCCTGTGACTGATGGGGGATGTCCTTCTGTATATATGTTTCTCTTATTGGTTGATGAATAGAACACTATTTGGCCAATGAGGCAAGAAAATAAGCAAGACGAGTTGATGAGGAGAATTCTGGAAAAAGTAGTCAGAGGAATACCTCGGGACACTCACCATGTAAAGACCCGGAAGTGTTCTCCGGAAAGATAAGGCCATGTGGAAATGAACAGATTAATAGAAACGGGCTCAGAATTAAGACAGAGCTAGTCAGTAAGAAGCCCTAGTCATCAGCCAACATGATTAATATGATTAATATGTCTCTGTGTGCTTATTTGGGGCTCAAGGGCATCAGGACCTGGTGGGAAAGAAAACTGCCAAATGTGACAGTATCAACAAAGACCAGCAAGTATTTGTATCCATACAGTCCTGGCATGACTTCAGTGAAGTCCATTTCCCACAGGAATACTGTACCTGACTCCGCTGGCCTGGGGGAAGCATGTCCTTCTTCGCATTTACCTGGCACAGGCCAGGCAGGAGTCTGAAATGCTTAGAAGTTTTTCTCTGTGTCCAGGTATCCAGACATGAGGGGAGATGAGTTCTGAGATTTTCTTAGGTGACAAGTACATGACATTTTGCAAGGTAATTAGCCAGTTTTGGCCCAGTAACTTTGGCACGAAGATTCTTCTATCAGACAAGATCCACCATCCATTTCAGCTCTCCTAAGCCACCAAGATAGAAAATGACTTGATATTTTCTGGATCGGACTCAGGAATATCTTTATCAAGGCAGAATGGGGACTAAGGGATAGTAGATAGTCCCAGGACAGTCTGGGGTTTTGGTTCCCCAAAAGTGGCCACGTTAGCACCTTGATCTGAATGGTTGTTACCTTGAGTTTTGGAGCTTTTGCCTTTTTGGTGTTCTGGCCAGTGAACTATGGCCAGTTTGGTTGGCATCTGGATGGCCTCTGGCAACTGGACAATTTCATGTTGATGTTTTTCTTCCCCTCTGAGGTCACTAAACCCCTCTGTTTATATAGCTGTCAATGAGCTGTGACAAAAGCATACCCACTGGGGCTGGAGAGATTGCTCAGTGGTTAAGGCTATGTACTTCCTGCCCTTGTCCAATCATGAGCAAGCAAACATCCTGATAGACTTCCTTCCTACATACCTCTCACCTACATGTGATCAAGCACATCGTATGCGTTTTGCGTGACCAAGCTTGTTTACAGAAGTGAAAATACATGGCTTGTTACATGACATTAGCTCCCAGCATCAGGAAGTTATCTGTCCTTGGGCAAGGGAGGTTTACAGGTGAGAGGCAATTTTGTTTCACAGATCTCTTAAGCAGTGTCATTTAAACTTAAAACATAACTTTAGCCATCACATTTGCCGGCTTCTTTTTCAAGAGTTGCTGTGGCTGCAATGGCTCTTAAACACGGGGGCTATCTAGAGGCTACATGATCTAGTCTCTATGAGATGTAAGCTATCATCAGCCTTTTCCAGGGACCCAGGTCTGTGTCAGGCCTCCCGTGGCAATGCCCTTCCTTTCACAGATATAAAGATGAAAAGGCTTGGGGACATCAGGGAGAGTTACTGTGGGGCCTGTTCAAGTTCCTCATTCCATTCCAAAGGGTGTTACCGAAGCCAAAGCAGGGGATGGTATAAATTTTGGAGTAGACATTCCTTACTTATTGGGCCTGTTATAGTTAAAGCTGTAGCAGAGCCTCCCATTTGCAACTGAGGAGAGCCTCCTGTAACTTGTTCAAGAGGTCCTGACCCAGCAAAGGGTAGGGACATACAAGAATAACTATAAAAGAACACGTCACAGTTCCTTGTCCTGGGTTAACGTCCAGTCTAGCATAATGCCTGGCACTTGGAATCCAAGACTGAGGCAGGAGAACTGTTGTGAATTCAAAGCTAGCCTTGTCTATTTAGTTCCAGGACAGCTGGGCTGGGCTACAAAGTAAGACCTTGAGGGAAGAGAGATGGGGGGGGGGCATATAAAAGTCAAATTCTAGCTTTATTATAGAGTCAGAAAACTGGAGACTGAAAGTTGGTATGCTATTCCACAGGCTTTTGGTTTTTTTCCTGCTCCAGTTAGTCATGGTAACATGACACCACTCCCAACCCACCCACACCAAAGGACAGACTCACCAATCTCTTGGCATGGTCTAGAGAACCGAGGAATCCAAACCCATAGCACAGGAAGAAAAACCAAACAAAACAGATCAGGGTAGGACTTTTCCAAATATTATTAGTCTGGGTCCAATCAATGGACAGGAACGCCACAGCAACACTTATTTTACTCAATAATGGCTCAACGCCCAAGAACATGAAAGCAAAAGCGAAGCTATAGATCCTTTACTTGAAGACATGAGTGCTCTCAATAAGAATGAAGGAAAGGCATATACTGAGGTTACTATGCTGTGTAAACAGTCGCCGGTAGACTTTTACGGAGCTTATAAACTTCAGCACAGGTATGTATGTACATAGGAAAACCTAACACAGTTAAGTACTATACAGGACTTCGGATACCCACTAGGGGCCTTGGGATGTCCCCACACATACAATGGGGACTGTTGTCACAATATGTATCTCACCCACATCTATCTTAAAAAGAATATATTTTGTCACAATATGGAACAACCAATTGGTTACATTTGGAATCTTTAATGAAAAGTAGATATTTAGATATAAAACTGGAGTAGCATTTAGTTACCCTGCTTTGTCACATTTCATTTCTATAAAACTCCATTCTTACTATAACAGCAGCAACCACTTTTGGGGAACTGAATACACATCCTCCCAATTCTAGCTGTAGAGAAAAGTGTTTCCCATAGGCAATGCTTAGTTAGACAAATGGGTCTTATTCAAATTTACACAGGAATCATCACAATATATCCATCAATTCAATTGTCTTTGTTCTGATTTTTTCTTTCCCGTTTTTTCCTTTGCTGTTAACACACAGATTTAAGCTGTTGTGCTCAGCTGCTAGAGTATTCTACTATATAACTGTTACATTTTACTCATCTGCTTCATAAGCAACAAACATCTGTGCCCATTTTTTCCTACCATAATTGGTGCTGCAATGAACAGACGGACTGGTACATGACTCCCTACATAAGCCTATCAGTTTCTTGAGAGTAAGTATAAATACTCAAGAGTAACAGCTAAGGGTTCTAGAATCTAGAATTTCTTTCCCACTCAAGTCTCAGAAACCATCCTCTTAGAAATTTTATACAAGCCTCTGCTTTCTGCAAAGACACTGGAATTCCTAAGAAGTACTTCAATAAATGAGGATATCAGGTCTATTATTTCCCCCCAAAAGTTAATTATCTGAGACTATTTTTTTAAGTCATCCACGATTTCTGGCAGTATCTGGAATGCTGCCAGACTCAATTACCAATCCCCCATGAATTCATTCATGTTTCTAGATTCAGTATCCTGTCCTGACCTCAACTTTATTCCGCTCTATCAACAAAGACTTCTGAGTGAGCATGGTGCTGTACATCTGGAATTGCAGCACTGGGAGGCTGAGCAAGCGGATCATCAGAAGCATGGGGCCAACTTGGGCTACACAGTGAGTTTAAGGTCACCCTGGGCTATGTACATAGGAAGACCCTGTCCCAAAATGTCTTTTTTGAAAAATGACTTTTTCAAATTATCCATATAGCAAAGCATATATCAAAAATATTTTTGCCTCTTAATTTCAAACCTTTATATTGCTCATATTATCTCGATACATTTGATAAGCTTTCTAAGATTATGCTAATTGGACTATGTTCATTGAGAAAGGCCCTAAAATTATAATACTTCTTGAGAGTCTGGGAAGTATATATATTGTGATACATCTTACTAAATATCTTTGTACTTTAAGTTTCCAGTCACTACAGAAGGATTTCCTACATTTGTATAAACTTAATGTAAGATGCATCTTTTGATATATTCCTAATAATACATTCTGCTCAAGCGTTCCTAAATCTAAGACATTTACAGAGTTTTAATGAATATGAATTCTCTGGTGTCTAATGTGATGTGACTTCTGGCTGAAAGCCTTCCCACATTCACTACACTGATAAGGCTTTTCCCCAGTATGGATTCTCATGTGTAAAGCAAGAGTTGAGAACTGAGAAAAGGCCTTCCCACATTCATTACAACCATAGGGTTTCTCACCGGTGTGGCTTCTCATGTGCACTGTAAGAGATGAACTTTGACAGAAGGCTTTTCCACAGATTTTACATTCATAGGGTTTATCACCCGTATGAATTCTCACATGCACAATAAGTGATGTAATCCGAGAGAAGGCTTTCCCACATTTATTACATTCATAGGGTTTTTCACCCGTATGAATATTGTGATGTTTGATGAGGTACTGCTTCTGCCTGAAAATTGTTCCACATTCATTACATTTATAGGGTTTCTCTCCAATATGAATTTTCTCATGCTCAGTGAGGTTTGATTTGCCACTGAAGGCTTTTCCACACTCCTTACATGTATAAGGTTTCTCTCCTGTGTGACTTCTCTGGTGTCTAATGAGGCTTGATTTCTGAATGAAGGCTTTCCCACACCCTTTACATTCATAAGGTTTCTCTCCAGTATGGATTCTCTGGTGTATAATGAGGTTTTCCTTCTGGCTAAACGCCTTACCACACTCATTACATTTAAAAGGTTTCTTTCCACTGTGGATGTTCTGATGTTTGATGAGGTACTGCTTCTGGCTGAAGGCCCTTCCACACTGATTACACTCAAATGGTTTCTCTCCGGTATGAATTTTCTCATGTTCTTTGAGATATGATTTGCCATTAAAAGCTTTGCCACATTCCTTACATGCAAATGGTTTGTTTCCCGTATGTGTCGGATTTCTAATAAGGGGTGTCATCTGAATGGAAGTTTTCTTGAAGTCATGGGGTTTCTCTTCAGTATGTTGTTTCTGATGAGAAAGGAAGTTTCCTCTCTGGCTGAAGGCTTTTCCACATTTACCACATTTATATGATTTCCTCTGTGCATGACTTCTCAAATGCAGAGTCAGTGATGAGACTCGAGAAAATGCTTTGCCACACTCTGTACATTCGTGTGGCTTCTCTTCACCATGCATTTTCTTGTGCTCTACAAAGTTTTCTTTTAGGCTAAAGGTTTTTCTACATTCATTACACTCATAAAGTTTCTCTCCAGGATTGAGTTCATCATGCAGAAGATCTGACTCAGGGTGAAGACTTTCCAACATCCCGTTACATACAAGGGTTTTCTGCTAGCATCTACCAAGATAGGATGAAGGCTTTTCCACGTTTACTAAAGACATACAATTTCTTTTCAATATTAACTCACAAGTATCTAATGAAACTTAATTAGAATGAGAGACTTTTTACGTGAGTACCCCAGGATGAGGTTACAAGAGGGACTGAAATACAGCACTGCCTTTATACTAATGGTTCTTTCTTACAGTTTCTCTCATTTTCTTAAGTAAATTATGGATGTGGGTAAATTAAGTTCAAATTTTCTTCAGCTGAGTCTCATATACAATGTCTTTGTCCAGAGGAAATACTTTGCTTCCTAGGTTTTCCTAGGAGATGAGATAACTCACAAGTCTTTCATCCTATGTCCTTCTCTGTGTATAAACTCCAGAGACTGTTTCTAAAAGAGAACAACAAGTTACTAAAGTAAGCATTCAATACATTACCTTATCAATAACATCCTTAACCTGTGAATTCTCTCAGTTTTACTAATAAAACTGCAGAAATGTGCTATTAAAAAAGACCAAGTCACACATCGTAGGTCACTTTTATAATTCCAGAACTTAGGACACTGATGCAGAGGACTGTCTTGAGTTTAGGGCCAACATGGATTAGACAGTGAATTTGAGGCCAGCCTGGCTACAGATGAGAGACTCTGCCTTAAAAACAAGGCACACTGTCAGGCAGTGGTGGCACATGCCATTAATGCCAGCGCTTGGGAGGCAGAAGCAGGCAGATCTCTGAATTTGAGGCCAACCTGGTCTACAGAGTGACATAGTTCCAGGATGAACCGGGGCGGCGGGGGGGGCAGTGAGGCAGGGATCGAGGCAAAAATAAAACAAAAGACAAAAACAACTAAACTATCGAAGCCTAGTCTTTTCATATGAAAGAAAGCACAAATAAAGTAACATTTCCAGGTATGTGCAGCTTTAACTGCTTTTCAATGTAGTTTGCACATAATGTCAATAAGTAAAATAAGAGAAAACATAAAAGAATAGGCAAGCCAGGCATTGGTGGTGCACACCTTTAGCCCCAGCACTTGGGAGGCAGAGGCAGTTGGATCTCTGTGAGTTTGAGGTTAGCCTCATCTACAGAGTGAGTTCCAGGACAGCCTCCAAAGCTACATAGAGAAATCCTGTCTCGAAAAGCAAAACATAAAAAAAGGGTAGCTACCAGGTCACTTAAGACTAGTAGTGCCTGGGATGACAGAGCAAAATAATAGTAATAATAATAATAATAATAAATATACATAAAAATATATTTTTTCTTTTTCTTTTTTGGTTTTTCAAGACAGAGTTTCTCTGTGTAACAATCCTGGCTGTCCTAGAACTTGCTTAGTAGACCAGACTGACCCCTGAACTCAGAGAGACCCACCTGCCTCTGCCTCCCAAGTGCTGGGATTAAAGTCTTTTATTTTAAAAGAGTTATAGGAAACATTATGAAAAACCAATGCGAAAAACTGAACAGAATAAAGAAAGCTGCTCAGAATTCTGCATTGACTCAACACAAGAAGAGGCTCATCAAATACAAGAAATTCCATCCAAAAAGAGCCACGCTAAATAAAGCACATTTTTGTAAAACTTTTAGCAGAAGTAAAACGGGAAGAAAACAAGGAGGCAAGTGCTCATTTTGTGATGTTTATGGAGCCAGGGCGCATGCCCAGCTTGTGTGGAAGTCAGAGGACAACTTGTATGAGTCAGTTCTCTCCTTCTGACACTGGGTTTCAGAGCTCAAACTCAGGCTATTGAGGTCTGTGGCAGCTGCCTTTACCCAGGAAGCCATCTTATTGGCCCAAAGGGTGCACAGACATATATAGGTACACACGCATACCCATAAAGTAAAGGAACTTTAAAAAAAAAAAAAGGCCCTCATATAACTTGTACAGGGAAGCAGAAACATGAGCACTACGGGTTCTGGGAATAACATTTCTACATCTTTAGCTAATAGCTAAAATTGAGCAATCAAAAATAGACAAGATAGTTTTAATAAGCATAAACAGATACTTTAAGTAAGTTTAAGTGGCCAGGTATAGTGTCATACATTCTTAATCCCAGCACTCAAGAGGCAGAGGCAGGCAGATCTCTGTGAGTTAGAGGCCAGCCTGGGCAACACAGGGAGCTGGAGGGCAGCAGGGAATACATTGTGAAAGCCTGCTCAACAACAATAAAAAGGTAGAATAATTCCAAGTGAGAAAAGACTGAGCAGAAAGAGTTGGCTAGAGAGTCATCCTTGGACACCCACAGGGGATTAGCTCCAAGACGCTTGTATAAAAAGGCATATTTGCAAGCAATCTCTGCATATCCTCTCATATAGTTAAATCATTTTTAGGTAACATATAATACCTAACACAATGGCAATGCTATGCAAATAGTTACCATTCTGTGTTGGTCAGGGAGCTATAACAAGGAAAAACAACTACGTGTTCAGTAGAGATGGAATGGTTTTGTTGCTGTTTTGTCTGTCTTGATATGTTTGTGTGTGTATATGCACATGAGTGCAAGTGCCTACTGAGATTAGGGTTGAGATACAGTGACCATCATTAAAATTTAGCCTGAAAATGTAGCATAGTGAGGAAACGAAAGCAGAGACTCAGGAAGACTGTCTGGACACTGACCTATCTAAAGAACTTTCAGCAATTGTCCCTCCAAATGGGGCTTAGCTGCTTAAAAAAAAAAGCAACTAAAAACCCATAAGTAGTCGTGAACCCCCCACTGCACCTAAAGGACACGGAGGCATTATATAAGGCTTCCACTCACCTTCAGATTTACACTTCTTCCCAATCACCCACTGTTTTTGTTTGAACTGTAGGCTTTCAACTTGCAATGAGAAAAGTGATTCAGGCCTCTGATACTATCTCTGGAAATCGAAGCAGCAGACCCAAGTCCAGCTGAGGCCTCAGAACTCATGAGAGGTTGGAAGGCTAGGGTAACCTCTGCTCCTGGGGTACACAAAGATGCTGGCCTGTGAAAACAACCAAGGGGCATGAGTACAGGAGCCAGGGCGCACTCGTGCACGAGCAAAGGAAAAGAGCAATTGTACTTGACACTCAGGCTAAGCCCAGAATCTACCTGAACTAAAAATGTACTTCTGATGTGGGTAACAGAAGGTATTTCCTTTTCAGAATTTAAGTTATACTGACAAGCTATGACTTTTCTGAGTTTGCCCATATTGCTATATGAACATGATTTCTGGGCAGGTGTCACAGGTGGCCTTGCTCCCAACTGAAGTCATGCCCGTGTCTTATCATTTTCCCTTCCACAATTTTAAAGCCTGCTGTGGTAGCATGTGTTTACAGCACTAGCAACTTGGAAACTGGGGTAGAAGATGGAGACTTTGAGGACAGACTTGGCTAACTGTCTCAAAAACAGCAAACAGAAGGCCAGAGAAACGGCTCAGTGATTAAAGTTTTTGTAACAGCAAGCATGAAGATAGGCGTATGGATCCCTGGAATCCATATAGGTACCGGGTATTCCAGCCTCAGAGGGCAGAGAGGGAACCCCCGAGAGCAAGTTGGCTAGTGTTAGCAGCCATATCCATGAGCTCTGAGTGTGACTGAGAACCTGATTTAATAATATATGAGGGTTGGCAGGAGCAATCATTATAACTGAACATTAAAGGCTGCCAAAAACCCACACAAGTAGCACAGTTAACCTTCACCCACCCCCTAATGAATCAACAGGAAGACAGCTAAAAGAAAGAACATTCTGAAGCTAGGCAGCTAAACAACTGCCCCCCCCACACACACACTTCCTGATGAATAGAACTTGGGCTCACAGGAATAGCTGACAGCAAATAAGAGAACATTCCACAGACATCCTTGTTGTGTGAATGGGAATCTTTTGGATATATGCCTAAGTTCCACTATGTTAATATCAGAATTATATGTAATAGCTAGATCCTGGAAGCAACCTAGATGCCCCACAACTGAAGAGTGGATAGAGAAAATGGGGTACATTTACACAATGGAGTACTACTCAGCGATAAAAACAACAGAATCTTGAAATTTGCAGGCAAATGGATGGCACTAGAGGAAACCATCCTGAGTGAGGTAACCCAGACACAAAAAGACAAACATGGTATGTACTCACTCATATATGGATTTTAGATATGGATCAGGGGAGTGTCAGCCTACAATCCCAGTGCCAGTGAGTCTGGGAAACAAGGAGATTCCCAAGAGAGATGCATGATACTCCAGAGAAGTAGAATGAGGCAAGATCTCCTGAGCACATTGGGAACATCGTGGGAGGGGAGTAGGAACCAGAGAAAAGAGAGGGGGAGAAGAGGAGGGGAGAATAAGGCTTGGGGGAGCAGGAAAGTTGAGTCAAGGTAAGAATAGAGGAGAGCAGGATGAGAGATACCATAATAGATGGAGTCATTATAGGCTTGAGGAGCGAGCTGACTCTAGTGAGATCTCCAGAGATCTACAAGGATAATACCAACTGGCAAACTAAACAATAGTGGAGAGACTACATTAATAGCCACTCCTTGATGATAGGGTTGATGACTATCCTATCCTAGAACCTTCACCCAGGGATTGATGGAAGCAGGGACAGATACCCACAGCTAACCACTGAACTGAATTCCTGGAACCTAGTGACAGAGATGGAGGAGTGATTAGCAAAGGGATCAAGACCATGACGATGAAACCCACAAAGACAGCTGACCGGATAAGGGGGAGCTATTGAATCCCAGACTGATGGCTGAGAGGCCAACAGGGGACTGATCCAGACTCCATGAATGTAGTGCCAGGGAGGAGGCCACAGAAATCACTGTAGATCAGTGTTCACCATGGTTTATGAATGAGCTTTGGGAGCCCATTCCAAATAGAGGGATGCTCTCTCAGCCTGGGCACATGGGGAAGGGCCTAGGTCCTGCCCAGGATGAAATGACAGACTTTAGAGATCCCCCCAAGGAGGGTCTCACCCTCCCTGGGGAATGATGTGGGGATTGAGTGGGGGGCTGGGGAGCTGGTGGAGGAACAAGGGAGGAGGGGTGGGAGAGGGAGCTAGGACTGACATGTGAAACATTCATGTTTCTAATTTAAATAAAAACACATATTGAGAAAAAAAGAAAAAGAAAAAGAGAGCATTCCACAGTTAGGTTATTTAGCGACCCCTCCTCCTGCAACCTCTTCACCCTGCTAATATCCTGCTTATCTTAACCTGCTATCCTGCTCACCTTTAGTGACCCCATGACTAAGAACATTCTATGGTCTGGTTACTAGGCAATGAGCCCCCTCTTTACCCCACATTACCTAGCCTCCTGTCCTAACCACTATATAAGGTGCCTGAGAAAAATAAAACTTCACAGCTTGATCAGAAAGCCTGTCTTGCTGTCCGTTTCTCATGTCTCCTGTCCCCTCATTCCAGGTTTCTCTGGGCTTGTACTTCATTGTGCCCTGCTGGCAAGGGCAGAGTGTGATTCCTAATGTCAGTATAAGACCCACCCAGCATGCACACTCATGTGCAATGCACCCCTACCTACCTATATGTGCCAACATACATGAAAAACACGGGCACAACACACACAAAGAAAGAGAATATAAACTGGTATAGGCACCCAGGGCACAGAGGCTGGAGGATCAGAACTTCAAGGTCATCCTCAGCTCCACAGTGAGTTCCACCCTGTACTACATGAAAACCTGTCTTTAAAAACTTAAAGAGGAGCTGGGAGTAGCAGCACGCACTTTTAATCCTAGCACTCAGGAGGCAGAGGCCAGGGTGGTCTACACAGTATATTCCAGGACAGCCAGAACTATATAGTGAGACCCTACCCAGCAAAGAAAGGGGGCTGGGAAGATGGCTCACTAGTTAACAGCACTGGCTGTTTCTCCAGAGGACCCAGGTTTGGTTCCCAGCACCCACAGGGCAGCTTACCACTGTATGTAACTCTAATTCTAGAAGACCCACTGTCTTCTTCTGGCCTCAGTGGGCACTGTATGCATGTGGCACATAGACACCCACAGGGCAGCTTACCACTGTATGTAACTCTAATTCTAGAAGACCCACTGTCTTCTTCTGGCCTCAGTGGGCACTGTACGCATGTGGCACATAGACACCCACAGGGCAGCTTACCACTGTATGTAACTCTAATTCTAGAAGACCCACTGTCTTCTTCTGGCCTCAGTGGGCACTGTATGCATGTGGCACATAGACACCCACAGGGCAGCTTACCACTGTATGTAACTCTAATTCTAGAAGACCCACTGTCTTCTTCTGGCCTCAGTGGGCACTGTATGCATGTGGCACACAGACATACAAGCAGGCAAAACACCCATGTAAGATACGTTACATTCTTTTATGCTGTGATGCAAAGATGTGTTGTATTCTTTTAAAAAAATTCTTTATTATGTTTACAGTGTTCTGCCCACATGCCAGCAGAGGGCGCCAGATCTCATTATGGATGGTCGTGAGCTACCATGCAGTTGCTGGGAATTGAACTCAGGACCTCTGGAAGAGCAGCAAGTACTCTTAGCCACTGAGCCATCTCTCCAGTCCCGTGTTGCCTTCTTTTATGTTACTTTGCTTAACTCTGTGAAGCTGTGTTACTTTGCCTGCCTAAAACACCTGACTGCTCTAATAAAGAGCTAGACAGCCAGTAGCTAGGCAGAAGAGGGACAGGTGGGGCTGCCTGGCAAAAGAATAAATAGAAGAGAAGGAGAGAGAAAAGGAGGAGAGGAGGAAGCCAGGGGTCAGTCACCCCGAACATAACCAGCCTTGGAGTAAGAAGGAAAGAAAGATATATAGAATAAAGAAAGGTCAAATGCCCAGAGGCAAAAGACAAATGGGATAATTTAAGTTAACAAAAGCTGGTTAGAAATAGGCCAAGTTAAGCCTGGCACTCATAAGTAAGATTAAGTCTCCTTGTATTTATTTGGGAGCTGGGTGGCAGACCCCCAAAGAAGGAAATAAGAAAAAACAGCTAAACCCATACATATAAAATGAAAATCTATTTTTGAACCTCAGAGGTGGGGGAGGGGGAGCTGCAGACAGAGGACCTACCTCTGTGGAGGTGGCTCTTGCAGGGGAATCCCCAGGTTTGGAACCCAGAACCCATGGTTCACAACCATCTGTAATTCCAAATGTAGAGTATCTACCTTCTTTTGACCTCCAAAAGATACCAGACATGCATGTGGCATCCATATATACAATCAGGCAAAATGTCCAAACACACATAGAAAAAAAAAAAAAGGAAAAAAATATACATCCAAGGGCTTTGCCTTGAAAAGTTTAGGGGTTCAATCCCAACAAGAGCAAAAGCAAAACAAAAACATATTTTCTTTTAAAAGTCATCAACCATGAACAATGCAAACAAAATATGTAAGAAATTATTTGGATAATAATAACAACTCAGTTCTTAAAACCTTTAGAGGTCTAATATTTTACCTAGGTTCAGTTACTCTTGGAGAAATTAAATGTAGTAATGATATGTATATACTGTATTTAGCAAACATTTATCTATTCTGTGCTATGAAGAAATCTGCTTATAGTGGAGTATGGCAGCGCAAGGGTCCAGCTTATTCTCTTACTCAGAAATGTACAAGCCACAGCAGTGTAGTGCTGTGAATAACGGGGACAGATAATACACTGGAGGAAAGGGAGGGTGGCCACTTTCAAGAGGGGGCCATGAGGATGGCACTTGTGGACATAGAGAGTTGATGCTCTTAGCGACGCATGGTGTTACACACTCTGAGTCCCAGGTCAGCCTGGTCTACATATAGAGTTTCAGGACAGCCAGGTCTACCTAGAGAGACCTTGTCTCAAAATTTAAAAGGCTGAAGCTCTTCAGAAACCTCCAAACAGAGCCATTCACTAGACCTCTGAACATACGGGTTAAAAACTTAGAGCCCCAGGTTGCGCAAGAGGACTCCAGCCACATCTCTCCATCGTGTCATTAAACTGGGGCAGGCTGAACTCAACCAAATGCAGCCTAAGCTTTCTAGCTGGAGCCCATAAGAGGACTCCAGCAACACTCTGCACCAACAAGGAGGTGCCAGGCGGACTTTGTGATGAGGCAGATAGTCCCACTCATGACCATGACAGACTGAGTAGGACAAGAAGACCCACACACAGGCCTGGGACAGTCTGTCCTGAGCTGAACGAGAAAGCAGGGGCCTACCCGGCACCTTAAGGCACCAGACAGGTGAGAATTATTACTACGGTGAGCAAATGTATAGTGTGGTATGGGAGAGAGACACAGACAGAAGTCCTGTGGACAGAGGACACAAGCATGTCTGAAGAGGCAAAAGCAGTGAGGAAAAGGCAGAGGTGGCTGGCTTGACTGACACCCAGGACCATGGCGATGCCTGGGCCTGGGCTGCTGCTGGCACCCACATTGGGGTTCACCGCTCTGATACAGCCGAGGTCTCTGTTGATGTCTGTGACTCCTGAACCACCAAAGGCAGAGAGGATAGGGCTGTACAGAGACGGTGCGGAACGTCACTGGCTGCAACACCAGGGAGAATTGGTCCCGCCCCTCACCTGGGCAGCACAGTAGAGCCCACCCTGATGGTGGAGGAGTGGGAGAGCCAGCCCCAAATTTGTGTCAAAGAGCTGTCCCCACTACTCATCTGTCATGCGGTGGCGTGGTCAGTGAAGAGATGTCCCCATTACCCTTGACACATGTGCCACACAAGGGAGCCAGCCCTCCCCCTCACCAGCTGCAGCACTCAGGAAAGTGTGCCCTGCTCCTCACCTGGGCAGCCCAGCAGAGCTGACCCTGTTAGCAGAGGCACGGGTGAGCTGACCCCAGGGTGAGAGTGGGCTAGCTGGCCACACCCCTCTTGTCTGCCATGTGGTAGAGAGGTCGAGGGAGAGATGCCCTCTACCCCTTAGCCCTGCCACCTGTGGTGGGCCAGAGAGCTGACCCTTCCCCTCACCAGCGACAGTACCTGGCAAAGTGGACCCTGCACCTCACCTGGGCAGCTCAGCAGAGCTAACACCATTGACAGGGTTTAGGCGAATCACCTGGAGAACTCAGCATGGGAGATCTGGCTCTACCCCTGGTCTGCCATATGGTGTGGGGGTGCCTGTGGCAGGTGGGAGATGGCCCTGGGGTCATAAGAGCAGGAGAGCTGTCCCTGCCCCTTATCAGCTGCAGCACTAGGGAGAGCAGCCACTGTACCTCGCCTGGGCAACACAGGAGAGCAGTCGAGCTGGCTGTGACAGTCCAGGTGTCTCAGGGTGTGGAAGTACGAGATTAGCCCCACCCCTAGGTCACCTCTGCAAGGGTGAACTACCAGGGGCAATGCTGGAGACCTGAACCTGGTCATGAGGACTGGGGAGAGCTAGTGGGCTGACCAACCCAGGTGCAGAACCAGGGCTATTGAGTTGGTCCATCCCAACATCTACCCCATCTATGACCTGCTGAAGCACATGAAGGGGTTGGTCCTACAAATCCTGCAGGATCTTCACCACCAGGGCAACAACAGGATACCCATGAGGAGTCTCAGTGACAGTCCAGTATCAATAGTTTAGCAGCAACCAGGTCTCGAACCTGACCAATAAGTCTTTGCAATGAACACTTGCAAATGAAGATATAAGGACATGCATGACTCATTGTGTCACACTATAGTTTCCATAACAAGATTTTTCCTTTTCTCTTTTTTTCTGAGGGGGGCGGTGCAAGAGCAAAGTGTGGATATGAAGAGACAGGAAAAGGAACAGGATCAAGATGCTGATGCTAAAGACAAAAAATAAAGTTAAAAAGAAAACCTAGGAAAAGCCTCGTTAAAAAATGGACGTTTGTGATCTGTTTCTGTTGAAACCACTGCAGTAGATGAAGTACTTAGGGGTTAAAAAAAGTTAAATCTTACAATCCTAGACATGTTGATGTCAGAGGGATAGTTAAAAACAAGTTAGGGCTGGAGAGATAGTCAGTAGGTCCTAAGCCTGCACCCCCAGCATCACGTCAAAAGTTACTCACAGAGCCGGGTGGTGGTGGTACACACCTTTAATCTCAGCACTCGGGAGGCAGCAACGGGCGCATCTCTGTGAGTTCGAGACCATTCTGGTCTACAGAGTAAGTTCCAGGACAGCCAGGGCTAAACAGAGGAACCCTGTCTGAAAAAACTGAGGGGGAGAGGTGCTACCAGTCCGATGGTGGCACAAGTCTTTAATCTCAGCATTCAGAGGGAAGAAGCAGGCAGATCTCTGAGTTCGATGTCAACCTGGTTCCAGAATAGCAAGGCTACACAGAAAAACCAGAGCTACACAGAGAAACCTTGCCTCAATCAATCAATCAATCAATCAATCAATCAATAAATAAATAAATATGACATGCAAGGCAGGACAACCAGGGATATGCAGAGATCCTGTTTAAAAAAAAAAGATGACAAAACACTTTTTTTTTTTTAGAAAGTAGGCATAAGAAAAATTGTACTTTAACAAAAGATTCTTGGTATGGGGAAAATCTTGACAAATTAAGAATCTTTAAATTAACTGCTAAAAAGCTAACTGCCTTCCTAATTCTATGACATCTATAGTAGTATAAAGTACCTTCTAAGGGCTATTTGGTAAATTCAAGGGCTACTCAAAAATAGCTCAACCGAAGATTCTCCAAGTACTAAGTTAATGTCTACTGATGTATAGACAACCAAATAACAAGGTTTTGGAACTCTTCGTTACAAAAAAAATTCTAATGACTTGTTTTAATTTTTAAGAAAATCACTTTTAAAACTACTCACTCGAGATACCATGCCCAGCCTAGCCACAGGGGTGTAGGGGTGGAGAGGTGCTTTGGTCCTGCCTCAACTAGTTGATGTGACAGGCTTAGTAGACTTCTTATGGGAGGTCTTACCTTCTTTGTGGAATAGATGGGAGGAAGAGGCAGTGGAGGGTGTGGGAGGAGATGAGGGAGGGGTAACGAAACAAAAAACAAAACTACTCACTCTATATATTCTTTTCCCTTTCTTGTTTTCCAGAAAAACGATGTTATCTTTTTTAATGAGACAAGTATTAGACAACCATTCATGTGTTCTCAGACTTGAAACCAGTTTCTCTCTAACTCGAAATCAACTAAAACACATCCTCACACGTCAGCTCGTCCCACGCGAAAACCCACCCCGGTGTCTGGCTCTCCCCAGCCCCCATCCACACAAGCCCTCGGCTCCCCTGTCACGGTAGGCGAGTCTCACTCCTTCGGGCATCCTCGCCCTCGCAGGAGCAGCAAACCATCCCCTGCGGCTACTTTAGCTCGATCTGGCCCAGGAAAACCCCGGTCCTACAGACCCCCAAATCAAACTCACCAGCAGACAAAGGCGACGATGGCAAGCCACAGAGCCTGCGCCTGCGCAGCACTCCTGCTAGCATGCTCAGAGGCGAGCTAGTGGTTCTTTTTCCAGACTGCTCTTTTTCGACTGTGGACTACATTTCCCAGAAGTCTTAGAGGGGTCCATTTTTCCCACGAAGTTTTCCCAGCCGCTGGCAGAAGAGTAAGAGGATGGGACTCAGACACTACCGCATTTACTCTGTTACCAGAAAGGAGAGTGGTGTGCTAAGGTGCAAAATAAATGCAGTTCAAACGCACCGAATAGGGTTTACGCGCCTCCAGGGCAAAATTCCGAATAATGCGCAACCATCTGAGTTTTACGGAGACGGGAGCCATCTTGGTGACGTGGTGCAGTACCGAACTCCATTTCCCAGAAAGTATTGCGCGTTTCCCCCTGGCTGTCAGCTTGTTGTTGGTTTGGCCGAGACCTTCTTTCCTCTGAGCAGAGACAGCCCTGGGTAGAGCAGAGCAGAGCAAGACTGTAATACTTTTCAACCAGGGAAACCTTCCCCTGCCTAGGTGAAGTTGTTACACTCCCCTCTCTGAGGTACTGGAGCCAAACTGTAACAACTTCACCAGGGAAACCCTCTGCTGCTGGAGCAGAGTTGATGGATACACCGGGAAGCCTCTCCCTTGTGAAGCAGGGCTGTAAACTGCCTTGCCCTACTGTGGCCTGTGGTAGTCCTTGGCTCCCCATTGCCAGAATACTTTTCCACCTGAGCTGTGACACTCAGTATTCTGAGACTCCAGAGTGCCAGAATACCTTTCCATCCAAGCTGTAACACTCACTATAATTTGGCTCCTAAGTTCTCTGTGTGTTCGAGGCCCCCCTGGTCTACAGAGTGAGGGACAGGAGAGGCTTCAAAGCTACACAGAAACCCTGTCTCAAAAAAAAAATACCTCTGTCTCTGTCTTTGTGTGTGTGTGTGTGTGTGTGTGTGTGTGTGTGTGTGTGTGTGCGTGTGTTACAATAACCTTGTTTTCAAGTGTTCTATGGTGTTTGCATATGTGTAGTATATATGCTGTTTTTATACCTGGTGCCCATGGATGCCAGAAGAGGCTGTCAGGTCTCCTGGAACTGGAGCTGTCAGCTGCTGTGTGGGTACTTGGAACTGATCCCAGGTCTACTGCCAGAGCAACCAGTGTTCTTAATCACTAAGCCATTTCTCCAGCCCATTCTTATCTTTTGGAACAGCTTCTCTTATGTGAAGAGCACCAACTAGGCAAGATTAGCTGGTCAGTGAGCTCCAGGGATCTTCCCGTCTCCCTCTCTCCAGTGTGTCTCCATGCTCAGTTTTTTTATGTGCATGCTGGGCACCTGGATCGTGCTTTTGTGGTAAATACTTTGCCAAGTGAGCTAGCCATCTCCCAGCTCAGCTCTCTTCCCCAGTTCTTTGAGCCAAGTTCATGTAGCCAAGCCTGGGCTCAAATTCCATGTAGCTTTGAACTGCTGGTCCTCCTGCTCCACCTTATAAGTTTTGGGATTATAGCTGTGTTTTATTTTTAAAATTTGATTATCAGTCAGGCATGGTAGTGCATACTTTTGATCCCAGCACTTGGGAGGCAGAGGCAGGAGGACCTCTTTGAATTTGAGGCCAGCCTGGTCTACAGAGTGAGAGACAGGAGAGCCTCCAAAGCTACACAAAGAAACAGTGTCTTGAAAAACAAAAAAAAATTTTTTTTTGATTATCATGAATCTTGGTGTGAATCTCTTTGAATTCCTCTCATTGAAATTATTGGATATATTTGTCCATCAAATTTGGGGTGTTTTAAGCCATTGTTTCTTCAAATGTGTCTCTCTCTTATCCAGGATCCCAACATTTATATTGATTCACTTTTGTGTGTCACAGGTTACATCATGAATTTAGGGACACAATGACAACCAGAGACTATTCATCTTTAACATACATATCTTAATATGTTAATCACCGTTAAACAGGAAGCTGCTGTGTGATATTCTGTTTGTATAACCCAGAAAAATCCCAGACCAGGATCTTCCACTGAGGTCTGTGACACCACCACCCATCAGGCTCTGTAGAGATCGACATCAGTGTGACCATCAGTGTCTTCAAGGCCTGGTCCTAGATGTTTCCTGAGATTCTTCTTGAGATAGGGACCCAGAGTTCCCCAATGAAGGTCCTGTTATTGAAACAGGGACTTTAGTAGCATCTTGCCTAGCCAGTGAATTTGCGTTAGTAGCTACACCCCTTTGGGCGTGGCTTCAGGTTCAGAAGGGACCGGAAGGTAGAGAAGCACAGAATCAATTGCAGGGCCAGCAGCACTCTCTCTTAGGGAGCCGATCTCATCAGAAGGGCAGAGACTGCACCTTCTGGAGCAGGAACGCCGCTGCAGTTCCTTACTGTTCTTTGTGTAAGTTGTTCCCCAGTAAATGCCCCTGGAAATGGGCATTTAAACTGGATTCTCTAGAAAAGCAGCCAGTGTTTTTAACTACTTCACCATCTTTCCAGCCCCGGGACTAACTGGGCAAAAAAAATCACCTAATATTTAAATGTCCTTTTCATTTTAATACTGACTAGTACTGCCTGGAGGTGGAAAATCTCCTAAAGGGAACATTTTAGGATATATATGTAGAGCAATCTATTGTGTCAAAACAAAAGAGAAACTGAAAAGGTCAGCTATTGATGAAAATGGAAAGGAGCTCACATAACTACAAATAAAACATAAGCAATAGAAAACAAAGAACAATTACATAAACACGATGCAAGAACATACCACCTTAAAGAACAATCTCAGGAAACATCTAGAACCAGGCCTTGAAGACACTGGTGGTCGCATTGTTGATCGCTACAGAGCCTGATGGGTGATGGTGTCACAGACCTCAGTGGGAGATCCTGGTCTGGGATTTCTCTGGTATAACTGTGTTATATCTAGCTGGCAGTTCTAACCTTCAGATGCATACATCATATGTAGAAGCAACAAATTAGAATGCATAAATGAGCACTTGGGTGATATTACAAGTTTAAAAACATAGCAAAAGAGCAGAAACATAAATCCTTCTGTTACTGTCCTAAGTTAGAGGTACTATTGCTGAAGTGAAACCCCATGGCCAAAAGCAACCTTAGGAGAACAGGATTGGTTTATTTATGTATTTCACAGTTCATCAAAAGCAGTGAGGGTAGGAACTCAAACCGGCCTGTGGAGACAGGAGCTAATGAAGGAGTCATGGAGGGGTCCTGTTTAGTGGCTTGCTCCTCATGGCTACAGTCCAGTGTTGTGGGATATTTGTATAATGTGTGAAGATGTATTGCTGTGACCGGTTTAATAAAGACCTGGATGGCCAATAAGTATCCTGGAGAGGAGAGGCGAGATTTCCAGGGAGAGAGAGAAAGAGGTGTGTGGATTTCACCAGCAGGACAGATGCGCCTTAAAGCCACAGGAGGGAGCATGGGGCCATTAAAAGTCCTACAATGTAGCATGGAGCCAAACAGAGCCAGGGCTTTATAAAGGTAAGGAAACACAAGGTTACATTCCATTGCATACAGGCATACATCCGGCAATCAGAAGATTACATTCTGTTAACCCACAAAGCACATATCCCCAGCTAAGTGTAAGCATCTTAAGTGAACACATCTCTTGCCCGTGTCCTGCTTTATACTGACCTAGCAAATTTTTGTTTACAGAAGCAAAAGCAGTTAAATTGTTAACATTGTGACCATTGTCTTTCATGAATGGCAGTTTCTTTAACAGTTTCCTCTAAAATGTACAAGACAAGAATGACCTTTAACATTTCTTAACGTTCTGGAAAGCTATCTGCCCTTGGGCCCTTGGGACTTCAGAATGGAGGCAGTTTTGTTTTATAGACTTCTTAAACACAATAATTTAAACTTAAAACATCATGTTCACCATCACAATGGTTTAAAGTAATCCTCAGCTTCACAGTGAATTTTAGGTCAGTCTATATTACATGAGACCTTGCCTCAAAAAAATAACCCCCCCAAATAAAAATACATAGACCTGAAACTCATAGTAAAAACTTCAATTTAGTAATGAATAGCCAAACACATATTCTAAATATTTTAGAAATGGACTAGCAGTAACAATCCTACCTACATCTGTAGCTTGCTGTGGGATAATCATCTTGTACACTGGAAAGATTTGTCACTTGAACTGTTTTAATAAAATGCTGACTGGCCAGTAGCCAGGCAGGACATATAGGTGGGGCAACCAAACTAAGGATTATTTGAAGAAGAAGGGTGGAGTGAAGAGTTGCCAGTCAGAAGCAGAGGAAGCAGATGAATGTGCCATGCTAATAAAGGCACTGCCACGTGGCAGAGCATAAATAAGGGATATGGGTTAACTTAAAATGTAAGAACTAGTTAGTAATCATCCTGAGCTATTGGCCAAGTATTTATAATTCATATTCAGCCTGTGAGTCATTTATTTGGGACTGGATGGTCAGGACAGGAAACATCTGTTTATGGTAGCTAGTAAGAGTGTTACTAGGAAAAAAAAAGATTTGCTAGTATCAGAACTATTAAACCTGGTATTGTGGTACATGCCTTTAATCACAGAACTTGGGAAACAGAAGCAGGTGGATCTCTGTGTGTTTGAGGCCAGCCGGGTCTACAGAGTGAGTTGCAGGACAGCCAAAGCTACTCAAAGAAACACTGTCTTGAAAAAAACAAAACAAACAAAAACTATTCTATTTCCAAACATAGAGTGGCCATGAAATCTGCTAACAGATTTTTAGAGAGAAATGTGCACTGAATCGTCCACCTTTTTTCACTTTGTTTAAAAAAAAAGGGGGGGGTCTTGTACAGCCAAGGCTGCCCTCCAATTCATGATGTGGACAAAAGATGATCTGAACTCCTGATCATTCTGCCCTCTGTGTCACAAGTACTGGAACTACAGGTATATGCCACCATGCTGGGTTTATGGGGGGCTTAGCCTAGTGTATGTAGGCAAGCACTCTACCAACTGATCTACATGCCCAGACACTGTCCCTGATCCTTTCTTTTGTGTACAGAATCACCCCGTGAAAAACCAGAACTAAAAGTCCTTCATATGCTCATTTCATTCAAGTAGACTAAATGTGCTCAATTTAACACAGTACATATGTTTTACCTTAAGGAAGTGCCTACTCATTCTAAATGCTTTCCCACATTCCTTAAATTCACAGGGTTTCTCACCACTATGAATCCTCTGATTTTTTTTGTAAAGGATGAACTATGTCTAAAGGCTTTCCCACATCACAAGTTTTGTCTGTTTGTTTTTTTTTTATTTCTTTCACCTCCTAAATAAAAGCACATTCTGCATCATTTACAGAATATTTCATCTTTCACATAATTCATTCATATAATATCA